GACAGCTACACCAGCTTCCTGACAGCTTTGTTTCTCTTTGCAATGCACAGTTGTTTTTTTATTTATCTAGTTATGGGACTGCTTTGCCCATGAGTTCAGGGCAGGTGTAGGGAGAATTTCATACCATCAACACTTAGATTTGTAATGTGGCTTACTTGTGCAACCTCCACAGGGAATCATGGTTCACAAGAAATGGTGATCAGCAGTGTCAATGGGGTACTCCCATGATCATACCTCCTTGGATTAAACCCTCCCTTTGACAGTTCTCAGTATTTCTTCTGCCTGGCTAAAGGATAAAGCATACAATTTACACAGGTCCTGAGTCCTTTCTCTGTTGAAAGTAACATCTACATCAGAAGAATAAAGAGAATAACCTAGCCCCTCACTTAAGCCATTCAATTTTTCCCACCCATCAGCTTCTTTCTTACTTCTGAATCCCACTAACCATAGCTCACAAAATGCGGGGAAGAAAAAAACAACCAGATTGACAACTTACTTTCCAATACAGTTAAAAAGGCTGCCAAAAACAAGCCAAGGGTATTATTGAACTACCTGTCTGTGCCTCTGAAACAAAGCATGGAACAAGAAGCACTGCCCAGGTAGAGTACATGTAACTATGCTGGAAGCTTCCAACATGCCAAGTAAGCCCAAATGGAGACAGAGTTAAGTGCTTCACCATCCTTCCAAGGACCTTGTGCTCAATATATTTTATTACCCAAATTTAACTCAGTCTATTGCATTTTTTTTTTTTTTTTTTTTTTTTGTGTTCCTTGCTCTTCCCAGGCCTTGCACAGGGCTCTGCCAGAGACTTAAAGATGCCTCAAGCTGCCAAAAAAAAAAAAAAAAAAAAAAGAAAAAAAAGAAAAAAAGTCCCTGTTCATAGCAGCATTCAGCCCTAGCTCTGGCCTGTACCAGAGATCATGTTGCTATGAGATGCAAGTCAAAGAAAAGAGCAAGGAGGAGGAGGAACGAATATGTATATACGTATATAATGTCATAGATATAACTGTGCGTGTCCTTATCTACACATAGCAATGGCTTCTTTTCATAGATACTCTCTGATAAGCTAACCAGAATGAGATATTCAACTCCCTACTGCTAACGCTGTTAAAAGCATGTCTTCTTTAGCATTAAGGAACCATTTGCACTTAAGGCTTACACAACAGGATTTTTTTGCATGTATTCAACATTACTGAATTTATAAGTTGCATTTTGAAAGAATGGTAGAAACTTTGCAGGACAATAAGCTTGTACACTCTGCACTTAAAACAAACAAACAAACAAATAAATAACAAAACAAAACAAAACAAAAAAAAAACAGTTTGGTGTAGTGGGCACTTGTTTTTTTGTATTCCGACTTGCCTTGGATATATTTCTTGATTGATAGCAGTGTCTTGGTTTTGGCTGGGCTAGAATTAATTTTCTTCATGTATGAAGTTGTGTTTTGGATTCTTGATAAAAATAGTGGTGATAACACAGTAATTTTTTAGTTGTTGCAGAGCAGTGATCACAGAGAGCCAAGGACTTTTCTACTTCTCGTGCTGCCCTGCCAACCAGGAGGCTGGAGGTGCATGAGGAGCTGAGAAGGAACACAGCCAGGACAGCTGGCCCAAGCTGACCAAAGGGACATCCCATAACATAAGGCATCATGCTCAGCAATAAAAGCTAGGATAAAGAAAGAGGAAGGAGTGGACATTTGAAGTGATGGCATTTGTCTTTCCAAGAAACCATTACTTGTGATAAGCCCTGCTCTGCTAGAAGTGGCTGAACACCTTCCTGTCAATGGGAAGTAGCAAATGAATCCCTGGTTTTGCTTTGCTTGTGTGCACAGATTTTGTTTTACCTGTTTCAACCCATGAGTTCTTGCACTTTTACCTCTCTGATTCCCTCCCCCATCCCACCTGAGGAGACTGAGTGAGCAGCTCTAAGGTACTTGGCTCCCTGCCAGGTTAAACCACAACACATACATATACATATTTGGTGTAAACAGATGAGTTTAGATTATCACATAATATACCACAACAAGTAACTGTGATTAAATGGTAGTTCAGCCCAGGAGGAGAATATTCAGAATAGAGATAAGTAAAATACACTAATATTATCTATATGAGTATGCACTAAATAAAAGCAAAAGTTAAAAGGGACACCTGCTACTTCGCACATTTCTGTAGTGTTTATTGTTCATTTATCTGCTAGCCTTATACATACTGACATCACAATGAAAAGAAGCTCTTTGCATTTTTAAAAGTTACACCTGTTTATTTATCAAGGAACCTAGTACCTTAGAATTCCAGAATTCTGTAACTAAATAACCCTTAATAGCTTGGAAAGTGCATGCTGGAAGATTACCTCTATATTGTCTCAGCTGCATCACCAAACAAACTATATGTAGTCATTGATGTCAGTCATTTTCTTAGCTCATGCAGCAAATGAAACACAACCTCAGCATGTAAGAAAATTAACCATTTATCATAACCTCTGACAATAGAAATAGAAGATGCATAGAAGGGGACAAATAAGATATAAAATTCACTTTTAATTGTTTCTCAGTGAATTGCATGCCCACTGGCACCATAAACTGAGTAGGGATTTGCTCAGCTGTGGAGCTGGGTTGGTACCTGTGCATTATGTCATATTTGGAAGTCAGCAGGGCTTGTTAGACCAGCACTTTTTACAGCACACATTATAATTTTACTGGGAGTCACAAAATGATCCAGAGGGGGCTATATAAAAAAGGTGGAGTTGCTCTGACCGCTGCACACATCTCCACCTGGGCTGGTAGCCACAAATTTTCTCACTAATGGAGTAAGGGCAGGCCGTACTTACTGTCTCTAGCTAAAAATGAGAGAACAGCAAATGACTCCATCCATGATCAGCTGCTCAGTGCTTTCAAGGAGAGAGCAGATGTCTTCCTGTATTGGAGTACTCAAACCATGTGTCTTCTGCCCTTGAGAGGCTGTGCTGCTGCTCTTGTGGGGACACAATCAGATGAGATCCAAGGAGTTTCAAAAGTTTGAAAGGTGCTCTGTTGGATTATTCAGTCACAGATGCATTCTCCTTACTCTTTCTCCGATCACAGTCAGGCTATTATAGGTCTTGCCTTCATTTCTATAATGCTTTTGAATAGGAAATAATACTCTTCTATGACCTGTCAAAACTATAGCTTAAAATTCTTGTTTCTTGAAGAATAGATGGAGATGCACATAAATGCATCTAATACTTCTAATGCATGTAAATACTTCTAAATTCTCTTCTGCTTCATCTGAGCAGATATGTAAATTAATGCCTTTCTGCAGAGTACACCTTCTCTCAGTTTTTTAAAAGTAATCCCTATGTTGTCCCGATATCTGGACATCATTAATGAGATAAAGTAATCCTGGAATGTGCCTGAAAACAAAGTCATAAATTAACTGGATACGTTATGATAAGGGGAAAAATACTTCTGAATGCACTACAGACTGTTCAAAAGAAGTGAAATAGAGAAGATATTAACTTTTGAACACTACTGACCTTATGGCAAATAACTAGTCTTTATCGTATAGCTAACTAATATCAGCCATGAACACAAAAATAAGTGGTACTGCAATAGAAGATAGTATCTTCCACAATAAGAATAAAGATAACATGAATAAGTATACTAAGAAAAGTCAGGCAGAGGCAATACTCTTTTCCTTGCCAGTTGGAATAGCAGAAAAAAGTCCACAAACTTTGGGCACGTGTATTTATCTGAAGGACAATATATTTCACCAAAGGCTTACCTAGTTTTTGTAACTAGTTTACTCTTCTGAAAAGAGTAGTTACAACCCTTGGCTACTTACATCCATCAACCACTACAGATACAGCTGTACTTCAGCTGTACTACAGCTGTCCTGATAAAAAATTTAATTTCCTTTTATGATAAGATCACCCATCTAGTCGATCAAGGGAAGTCAGTTGATGTAATCTTTTTGGATTTCAATAAAGCTTTTGATACGGCTTTTCATAAGATCCTACTGGACAAAATGTCCAGCATACAGCTAGATAAAAACATCATACAATGGGTGAGCAATTGGCTGATAGGCAAAGCTCAAAGGCTTACGGTAAATGGGGTTACATCAGGCTGGTGGCTGGGCTGGTCAGCAGTGGGGTCCCCCAGACCTCCATTTTAGGGCCAGTCCTCTTCAGTGTTTTTATAAACAATTTGGACGTAGGACTAGGTGTTTTGAGCAAATTTGCTGATGATACTAAACTGGGAGTAGTTGTTGGCTCTGTTGAGGGTGGAAAGGCCTTGCAGAGAGATCTGGACAAACTGGAGAGATGGGTGATCACCAACTGCATGAAGTTTAACACGAACGAGTGCCAGGTCCTGCACCTGGGATGGGGAAACCCTGGCTATACATACAGACTGGGCAATGAGACACTGGAGAGCAGCCCCGCAGAGAGGGATCTGGGGATTGTGGTTGACAGCAAGTTGAATATGAGCCAGCAGTGTGCCCTGGCAGTCAGGAAGGCCAACCGTACCCTGGGATGCATCAAGTACGGCATTGCTAGTCAGTCGAGGGAAGTGATTGTCCTGCTCTACTCTGCGCTGATACGGCCTCACCTCAAGTGTGCAGTTCTGGGCACCATAGGACAAAAAGGACGTTAAACTGTTGGAGAGCATCCAGAGAAGGACCACAGAAATGGTGAAGGAACTAGAGGAGAAGACATATGAGGAGAGGCTGAGGCCCCTTGGTTTGTTCAGCCCAGAGCAGAGCAGGCTGAGGGGAGGCCTCATGGTGGCCTGCAGCTCCCTCACAAGCAGAAGTATAGGAGCAGGCACTGAGCTCTACTCTCTGGTGACCAATGATAGGACCCAAGGGACTGGAGTCAGCTTGAATATCAGGAAAATATTCTTCACCAAGAGGGTGGTCACGCACTGGAACAGGCTCCCTAGGGATGTAGTCACAGCACCAAGCCTGTCAGAGTTTAAGAAACATTTGGACTATATGGTCTGAATCTTTGGGCAGACCTGTGTGGAGCCAGGAACTGGACTCAATGATACTTGTGAGTCCCTTCCACCTTGAGATATTCTATAATTCTATGATTCAGTGTTTGCTGTTGTTGTTGTAGTTGTTGTTGTTTGTTTTGTTTTTTTTTTTATTCTTCTTCTAAGAAGAGCCTGATCTTAATGTTGCAAACTTTTTGGGACATAGTATTTTCATAAAGGCCATTCGAAATTTATCATGACAGAGAGGGTAAAGAAATGGATTCAGAGAGGAATTGAGCCACAAAAGCCAAAAGGTAACATCGTACAGGGAGTTATGAACACAGGTTCCTTGGCAGGCCCCACGAATAATCATTAGTAAAGTATATGGTGCCCAGCAAATGGCGAAGACACAAACAATTATAGGCAAGCGACTTTGCAATTTTCTTGTCCTGGTGCAGTTTTGACCTGGTCCTTGCACAGAAAGAAATAGAGAGGTCATTTTCTGGGGTTACAGAATTGGCTCTGGATGGAGATAAGCTTTCAGCTACCAAAGACTCTTTCTTTGGCCTTATGGAGGATGAAACACTGTCCTCTGCTTCCAATGAGGAAGATGCTCCTTGTTTCAGCATGAAGCAAGATCTCCAGGATGAGCTGCTGCTCCTTGGAGGCTCAGAGTCCTGAATGCTGCCACGCCTCTGGCGCCTCTGGATGTTGTTGAAGATGTGCACGTTGAAGTAGGTGACCGAGATCAGCGGCACAAAGAACTCCAGGGTAGACGCACAAAGGAGGAAGTACCAGTTGTCGAAGAACTCAGCGTGGCACTGCCCTTCCTGCACCGTGCTGCAGCCGGCCACATACTCCCACAAGAGAATTGCTGGGCAGTAGAGGAGGAAGGCAAAGACCCAGATGGCCACCATCTTGACAATAGGGTTGGACATTATTCCCCGCTGAACTCTGTAAGATACCTGTGAAGGAAAAAAAGAAAAATATTGTAGCTGTAGAGGCAATTATTTGAACCAAGAGAATTAGACAGAGATGAGCTTAGCATAGCATTTGCTAATAGAGCTGCATCTTCTCTCATCAGCTGAAGCTCACTCAGGTATGTTTAATTTATTGATGTTGACATAACACAGGGTTGTCTATGTATCAGTCACAGTGCTAGGGTCCTGGTACAGGCAAGGAAACATGATCATCCATCAGAGTTAGAAGTACCTAGTAATTTGGTATGCCTTGTTTGAAACATCTGCAGCCTGAATTGGCAGAGTAATTAACATTTTATAGTTGCTCAGAGAATGACTCCCATTCACTGACAACTGCACTGTTTTTTACAGCACTTTACAAGATATAGGACTAAATATGGCACAGTGGTCAACAGAAATTATGTCACAAATTTAATATGCGCCTTTGAAAAATCATATATTGCACATTCCATGAGCACATAGGAGCAGAATCCAGCCCTGCAGTGCAGACATTAGGTGATGAAACCACAAGATCACCCTTATCTGTGTCCTGGTTTGCGCTTTGTAAATGTTGAGCCTTTGGCTTTCCTGTGTAATTTCACTTAAAAGCAAGATGTTTTGGTGTTTGATTTACCAGTTTCTTTCATTAAAACAAAATTAAATAACATAAAAACATATTAAAAAAAGGCATTTATAATAAGTTCAAGTACTTATAATTAACAAAAATACAACTGATCTTTTTTCTTTTTTTCATATGGCATCATATTGACATTCTCATAGGTCACCAAAGAGCTGCAACCCCTAGCTCAGCCCCACATTTCTCTGCCACTTCAGCCAACAGAGCAACAACCGGGAAATGCTGGCCTCCAACCTTAGTATGAACCAAAACATAAAGCACACACAAGGTGAATTGGATGCTCTGCAGAAAGCAGAGACATAGCACTCTATGCTCATCCGAAGTTTGGGGTTCTGCTTCAGACATGGAGAGGAGATTGCCTCATACCCATGGATAGTCTCTGCAGTCTGTCCTTTGGCCCACTCTCTTCCCTATTTGCACTTGTTCCCAGTCTTCTCCAGGATCATTTGGAGCCACGTCTCAGGCCTAGACGTCCTCCCTGGTATTCTTCACTTCACCACCCTAGCCTTTTCCTCCCATGTCTGATTTAGGTTCAAAACCAAATCCAGTTTACTTCAGATTTTCTCCTTATTTGGTCCCTTTTTATCAGCCTTTTGTCTCAGCCTTTTCACTCCTCGACCTGTTTTCCTTAAAGCAGCGGCACAACAGCAACCTGCAGCAGACACTGTGAGAGAAGATCTGTTTGACCAGATCTGGGCTGGAGTATGCTCAGCACTGCGTCTATCCACAGTATCTCCACACGCAAGCATACTTTCTCAGGGCAACTATCTCGACTAATCTGGGCCCTATACTCGCCAATAAGGCAAAGAGCTTATCACCAATATCAAGATATGTCCTTGCCAAATCCCACAATCTTGCCACAAAACTCGGAGAGACTATAAATAGGGTACTTACAGCTTTAGTAACTGACAGGAAACGGTCATAGCTAATTAGAACAATGTTAAACACTGAAGCTGTGCACAGGAGATAGTCCATAACTAGCCAGAGCTTGCATAGGCCTCTTCCCAAGTGCCAGGTCCCTGTCAGGGCATAAGGGATGTAGAGAGGTATGCAGAACGCACCTATGGAAAGCAATCACAGAGACACCATGCAGTTGTTACAGATTGCAAACAGTACTCCTGGAAGCAAAGAGAGACAATACTTCGGTATTTAGCTGGAAAAAAAAAAAATATATATATATATATATATATATACTGTTAAGGTGTATATATAAGTTATATAAATAAATTCTTACATTCTCATGGAATCTGATGAAGACTCTGTGTATTAGATCTTAGTGCATGTTGATTGTTGTGAATAAGCTTAGGGCAAATCAGCAAAGAAAGATCCACTGAAGAAAACTACAGTATAACCGATTGTATAGTCTCTAAAAATATACAGCCAGTACTGCAGCATTTATGCAGCATGCTGTGCATCATGACTATGTTCCAAAATGTAAACTTATTGCTGTGTATCTTCTTATCTTTTATCTCTGTTAAAGATTTCCTCCCAAACATATCTACAGATACTGCTAACATAGCTTATTAATGTAAGACTGGTTAGCATTTTTACACTACAGACAATATGTTGGAGAGACTGTGTGGTGTGTGGAAACCTCTTCTACCACAGACAGAGCAGAAACAACTTACATCTCTGTCCTGAAGCTGCTACATTTAAACAGCCAGGCAGACTTCAGTTAAACACCAAAAGCCTTCTAAAAAAAATATAATAATATCCAGTACTTTGAAGTACTTAAAAACAGGACTTTTTTCCCTATTTTCTGGGACATCTCCCACTGGACCATCTTTTTTTTTTTGCTGTTTTAATGGTCTGAACCCTGCAGAAACACGGCACAGTGCATTCACAGCCCCTGCCTCTTCGCCTGGCATCACCCACTAGGACTGGATCCTCTGCATCTCCAGGACTACTGCATTGACACTATGGAACAAGGAGGATAACAAGGAAAACAGATGGAAGACGCAAGCAATAGTCTGCTGGCATCAGCACAATCCCTCTGATCCATAGCCTGCACCGAGTTGCATCCAGTGAAAAGTTACAGTGGTAAAGTGCATTTATTGTAATGTAATAAACTCATAGGCCATTAGCATTGCATAGAGAAGTAATTCATTTACCTTGATGTACCACAGAGAGCTGCATAAGGAAACAGTTACTCTGTCAAACATAAAGATCTTATGATGAGGTGTAATGAACAGTTTTACATGAGGAGCAAAAGTAAATCAGAAACTGCGGCAGAAGCCTCTTTCTATCAATCAGTATTTTTTACATACAGTAGTAGCTCCTTTTTTTCTGAAGGAATGTTAAAAGCATTTACAAGACCAAGAATGCACTACTTATCTCATTTCGATGTATCTTGAGACATAATAGGCTGCTAAAACACTTAATAGAGTTTTTACCATTCCTTACTTTTCCCCATGGCACACAGTTGGGAAATTTCTCCAAGAAGCTGCCCACCAAAATAAGGCCCCCTTTTGCCTCTTAACATTACTAGAAAGCAAGTATTACATATCTCCAGCATTGCAACTTACCCACTGCAAAGTCAGAAATAGCAAGATTGAGAAAAAAATAGTTACTCCGATGCCTGAGATTTCTGTCCATGATGAAAGCAAGGATCACCAGAACATTTCCAAGGATTGTAACCAGAGCTAGCAGCACCATAAGCAGAGCCAGGAGCACCAACACACCCGTGGAAAACTCTGAGGTCTCTGGCTGTGGAGATGAAATCCCATTACACTGTCGTATCGTGTGCGGAGTTTCAGCAGTGCTGTTGTGCATGTTGTGTAGCCAGGTCAGTTGAGTCTGGGAAGAATCTTGCATCGGGCAGATTTCCAATAGATTGAGACAAACCTGTTAACAGGATGGGCTGAATACTGAAACATCCAGACAACTTCTCAATATTAAAATTCTAGATCACAAGATTTCAAAGCCTGGAGTCTCTCATGCTCTTTGATCTGAATGCACCTATTGGTCTGAAAACCAAATCCGTAAAAAAGATACCTCATAAGCAACAGTAAATGCACACTTTAAAGCAAGTGATGATCTCTTTTCTCTCCCGATGGCTGATCTTTATCTACTGAGGTCAGAAAAGAGTTAGTCTGAAAACAGCTCTTTTCAAAGTCAGGCAGTTTGCATATTAGCATTGTGTAAATCATGTAAGCTGTTTTACTCGCTGAATTCAGCTGAAGCTAAAAAAAAAAAAAAAAAAAAAAAGAACTAATTTTCACTTCCCTAGTGGTCAACAGGATGTAAATTACTACAATTCTATTTCTCTTACTGTAAACGTAGGCATCATTGTGCTTGCTGTTACTAAACTACACAATTAAAAACAGAGAAGTCACTGCTGCTGGCTACAGAGTGTCTAAAATTTAAGTTCTATTTTGCAAAATGTCACCTTTTGAAGTTATCTGAAGCAGGAAGCTAGTCTATCCCTGAGAACAGTAAGCTAAATGCCCACCCCTCATCATAATTTCATCTATTTTAGTAAAAGCGGCACAGAAGTCAGCAGACCAGGGCTGTAACTTCATGCCTGAGGGTCACCAGCTCCACAGCACATCCCACAACTGGTTTTCAGACTGGGACTGTAATGCCAGGTGCTTGACGAGATATAGGGCACAAAGCAAGGAAAGGGAGGGTGGGGGAAGTGATGGAGGTGGAGGAGGGTCCTAGTGAGTAAAGAAAGAAGCAAATCACACCTCCTGGACTTCAGGTGAGCAGGCTGAAGTTTATTCAGGAAAGTGGTAGTAGTATCCCACTCAAGGCAGCTCTAAAGCACAAAGGAGCTCAGAAAACCTGCAGACCTTTAAGGACAGCTTTCTCCATGCACAACAGAAGTCCATCCCTGTTTTTGGGAAAACAAGCAGGTATACCAGGAGACTAACCAGGTTAGTTCCTTGGCTAACCAGGGAACTCATAGCAGAGCTAAAATACAAAAAGGCAGCATGAGGAATATGAAGCAAAGACAGACTACAAAGAAAGAACTTTGAATTGCTGCCTGGCCATGTAAGCGTGGTGTTAGGAAAACTAAAGCTTATCTGAAGTTTATGTTTGTAAAGGACAGTGAGGATGACAAAAAGACCAAGAACTTCCACCTCCACATTAATAGTAAAAAGATAAATAAGAACAAAATGGACCTGCTGCTGAACAGTCCTGGTGACCTAGTGATAGAAAAAGTAGATAAGACTGAGGTTACCACTGCTTTCTTTGCTTCAGTCTTTACTAACCAGGTCTTTCCTAGGGAGAAAATTCAAGGAAGGAATCCACCTCACCTACAGGTGAGGACTGAGTCAGGGTTTACTTGGGAGCACTTGACCTGTTAAGAGTCCATGGAACCCTATGGGCTGCACTCAAGAGTGCTGAGAGAACCAGCATCCCTGAAAGTCTTTTATCTTTTTTGAAAAGTCATGGAGATCAAGAGGAGTTCCCGATTACTGAAAAAAAGTCAAACATTGCACCAATCTTCAAAAGATGCCACAAGATCCATAGGAAAGTTATGGAACAAGTCCTCTTGGAAGGCATTTCTGAGCAGTTGAAAGAAGAAAAGGTGACCAGGACACAGTCACCAATGGTAGGTCATGCCTGAGCAACTTGATTGTCTTCTATAATAAAATGACTGGGTTTGCAGACAAGGGGAGAATATTTACATGCTTTAAAAATTAAGGAAGAAATCAAATTAAATATTAAAGTTTTAACATAGTCCTTCATGGGGCTGATGGAGAAATTTATGTGGTCTCTCCTTCCTTCCTCCCTGTGGAGGAAAACCACAGCCTGACATAAAGGACAGACATTAGGAGAACCACTAGGGATTAAAGACTTGTCTAAGAAATAAACAAAGCTAACACCATTTCTTCCAACATGTATGTTTTATTTGTTTTTTGTTTTGTTTTGTTTTTTTTAAGACTCGAGAGGGCAAATTTAGAAAAATGCTGTTGCAGTTTGAGTTCAACCTCATAGTCATAGGCCTGTGATCACAACATATTTACAATAACTATTGGACATCTGCAAAGACAGAAAAGAGTGCAAGGGCATGAAATGATGAAATGGATGAGTGAGTGGGTAGGGAGACTTTTCTTAAAAAGCAGACTTGGCAAGGAAGGTACATTTGTGTCAGTGCATGACAGGCATGAGGAAAAACCACCAAATAAGTATAATAGCAGAAGCCTGAAACAGGTCTACTAGAGAAGGGAAGACTGGGGATGCCATTTTGTCCAAGACAGCTATAACGTTGTGAGAACACCAACTGAGCATCTGAGTTGACCTGGGAGCAGTAGATCAATTAGAAAAATACAATGAACTCTCCAAACAATCAGGGGTGGTGTGACAAAATGGTTTGAACACTGTGGGTGCAATACAAAACATCAAATACATTGATCTGTAGTAACTTCAGTACTCTGTGATTTCAAGTTTGTTGCACACTGTGCTTGCTCCCTGAAGAACTCTTCTTTTCCAGTACTACAGTGTGGATCCATTTTACCTAGTCAATAATTGTGTAAGGCTATTCTTTCAAAGTAATCAATATATTTAGTTTTCTTGCACAACATTCTTTTATACTGAAAGCATAAAGTTACAAAAGCAGACAATTCAAGTCTTCCCCAGCTTGGGCCTGCCTACAGCTTCTCTGTAGAACAGATGTTTATTTAGTACTCTAGTTATTCTATAAATGTTTCAAATGTGTATGTGTGGGTGTTTGTTTTTTTTTGTTTGTTTTTTTTAGAGCCTTACAGAAAAAGCACACCCTACAGAAATCTATGCCAGCACCTTAGCTCATAACAGTGAAAACAGCTGTGCTGAATCAATGACCTCCTGAAGCTGTTTCTCTCTTTGCAGTCAAGCTCACAATGCATACCACTACTTATGTAAGGCAAGGAAGCATAACAAGTTGTGAAATACAATCCTCTGCCAGCATGAAAACTGTCGAGAGAAGTCTTCAGCTCCAGATCTCTAAACAGCATATGATTTAAAAAAAAAAAAAAGTTCTTTGCTATGGTTGAGCTGTTTACATACATTCAAATTGTGCTTACAAATGAGTCCTCTGATTTTGCAACACGTCTACAGCCCATTTCAAATTAGATATTTATTTCAAAAGAAGACTACTTAAATCTTCATTATTCTGTGCATCCAGTCCCTCTTTCTGTAATTTATACATTTGTGTGTATACACACTAGGAGAAAAAAAAAATAGCCAGTCACTCTCACCTATCTGTGAAAGCCTTGTGCAACTTCCAACACCAAACACAAAGAAAATTTGGCATGTGGAATGGGTTATAATCAAGCTCTATTGCCCTCTCCAACACATTCCCCACTCTTTCCAGCACTGCCTATTCACCCACAGTTCATTCACAGCTGCTTAAGACACTTCTGCGTCAGCTTTCAGACAGATCTCTGTGAACCCCATTCTCAAGCAGTGAATATGGCCCTCACTCAGCTATAGAGAATATCCAGCTTGATGCTGATTCAGTGGCAGAGAAAATCCACATATTATCACAGTAACATGGCACAAAGAACTGATCTAGAATATAAATCATTCTGTCAGTTCAGATTTGCCCCGGTCATTTTGATGGAATATCTTTGTATTTGCAAAGCTTTCTACCCGGGGGGGTATTGTCTGTTCTCATGCAGCCAGTCAAAGTCACAAATCCAGCATGAGCTTTGTATTGCTTGCTCTGCTAAGTCAACAGCAATGTGATCGGGAATGCAGGATTGTCCTATCCTTTAGGTAATCAAATAGTGCACAAATCTGGCACTAAAGATCATTGAAGCATGACCAAAGAGGAAGCCACTATCAGGAGAAAGGAGCAACAACTGTTTATGTCTGTTACAATTTTGATAATTTCAAAAATTCATTACCATGGAAACATTCATTTTCTAAAAAAGATCCAGAGTTACTAACTTACATGTATGATGTCCTGCAACACCAAATATGGACAATATTATAATTAGAAAGGCACAGATATACCAGATTAGGCAGTCTGTTCACTTCCATATTGCCCAGCCTGGTAAACATAATCACTACAGAGCACTGTGTTGTCTTCATAACACTTTCTTTAAAGGAAATAATACTGCTTCTGTGAGGATTTTACATGACCTTTCAAAAATACAGCAGAATTGCTTTTTTCACTAAAATCTTTAGATTCACAAATGGGATATTAAAGTTTTACTCAGCACCTACAAAAAGAGGTATCTCCCTCCAATGAATGTCTGTGGCAATATCCATAGAAGAGTTCTTTCTTAATACCAGATTAAAAATAAAAAAAAAAATAATAAAAATAATAATAAAAAAAATAAAAATAAAAAAGAGTACATCAAACCAGAAAGGACATCCAACAACACCAGGTAATTTGTTGCACTAGATGTTGTTCATCCTTGCATGAACCAATATTAACAGAAAAAAAAAATCTGAAAACTACAAATCAGAGCAAGTACATGCCTCTACTGCATTCAACCAATGTCCCCAGCCAACAAAATATTTTCTCTGTTTCTGTTGAAGATACCTATGAAAAAAAAATAATCACTAAGTAAGAGACAAACCTTATTTGTAAGTCATTTACTTCAGCTCTCTAAATAGAAGGTGATCTCAACTTTGCAAACCTTTTGGGACATAATATTTTCAGAAAAGCCATTCGAAACCTCATGTGACAGAGTGGGTAAAGAAATGGGTTCAGAGAGGAATTGAGCCACAAAAGCCAAAAGGTGATTTCATAAAGGGAGCTATGGATGCACCTTCCTTGGCAGGCCCCACGAATAATCATTAGTAAAGTATATGGTGCCCAGCAAACGGCAAAGACACAAACAATTATGGCAAGCGATTTAGCAATTTTCTTGTCTCTTTGCAGTTTTGACCTAGCATTTGTGCGGAAAGAAGCAGAGAAGTCCTTTTTGAGAGGTGTGGGGACTCATTGGTGCTGGAGATGGGCAGGCAGAACCCAGTGATGGTCTCAATGACCTCGTTAATGATGAAACACTGTCCTCCATTTCCAACGAAGATGACACATCAGATCTTGGCAAGAAGCAAGATCTCCAGGATGAGCTGCTGCTCCTTGGAGGCTCAGAGTCCTGAATGCTGCCACGCCTCTGGCGCCTCTGGATGTTGTTGAAGATGTGCACGTTGAAGTAGGTGACCGAGATCAGCGGCACAAAGAACTCCAGGGTGGACGCACAAAGGAGGAAGTACCAGTTGTCGAAGAACTCAGCGTGGCACTGCCCTTCCTGCACCGTGCTGCAGCCGGCCACATACTCCCACAAGAGAATTGCTGGGCAGTAGAGGAGGAAGGCAAAGACCCAGATGGCCACCATCTTGACAATAGGGTTGGACATTATTCCCCGCTGAACTCTGTAAGATACCTGTGAGAAAAGGACCTGTCACTTACTCATGTAATACTTTGGAACTATCTTAAAACAAAATAAACAATCAAATCAAATGCAATATTAGTTCTGCAGTTTCCCAGACACCTACACCATCTTCACTTTTGTAAGGTCCTAAAACCACTACTAATCTTGCTCATCAAGTACTGCAATTCTGTAATTAATTTTAATACTTAGGAATTGCAAAAGGACCAGAAATGATGATGGCTAAACTACCATTCTAAGGGTACTGGGACATAGCTTGTTTTCATCACCACCACAGTCAGACAGTAATAAGGACTCAGTTTATGATTCATGAAATGCATACTCAAGCTTAGAGGAGAGTCAGAGCAGCTGTTGGACTTCTTTCCTGCACAGGCAAAAGTTGAAGACTTCTGCATTAGAGAGGTTGCTATGAGAGACTGCAAACACTAGGCAGTATATTTTTAAATATTATTTCCTCTTGCCATAATAGAACAATATATCCCAGACATATGCTTTAACATCCCTTATTTTATTGAAACATTCTGTTTTAACACTCACTTTACCTCATAAACAGCTCGTTGTATTACTACAAATGTTGATGTTTTTATATCTACCCAGACTGCATTCATTTACTTTACTCTCTAGCTGTAAAAATCTTTGAAAAGATATTAGGAGCTAAAGTCATATCATCCAAAATTAGGAAATATGACAGTTATAACCACCCTTGCAACAGCCTAGTCAGTATGTAAAATACGTAATTCTAGCTCTTGGACCCCCACAGCTTTCAACACTCAAGATGATCACTTAATGAGAATTTGGTCAATTTTATTTATGCCATACTGTTCAATATTTGTCATCCCAGGCTTTTCTGAGATGCAGAAGTACTATCTTCCTCACCAACTTCCTATGCCATTTTTCAGTGTAGTAACTGCACGTTATACAATTATTAATAAATGGTATCTTCATTAATTTTCACATATGACCTTAGGGGCATTGTTGTTCCTATTTTATCGTGAGCAACAGAGTAATGACACAGTTTTACAAGCATTATTTTAGAATCTTGGTTTTAAACATCTGGGCCTGATATTTCAGACTCCTTTACACCTTAAAGCATCAACTTAGACCACAACTCCAGTTCTCTTCATCTGCAGTAATGAATTTTCAGCCCTCTGCACGACCACAAGCATCTCAATTTAGTAGTCAGAAAACAGGAAGCTCAGTGCAGCTTCACAAAAACTCAAGTCTGAAATGACTCAACTCTGACCATAAACTAGGCCTGCAGCAGAGGTGAATCCCAAGTCCATGAGGAAGCATGATATTATTTTCTTTTGGATAAAAAGTTACACATTTCTGGACTCACTCCATTCTAATTATCTAGAGGAAAAAAAAAACAGAAGGTGATCGTGTAAGAACATGGGGCCCAGCTGGATTGCAGAAGCCTTTTTAATTTACTTTTCTCACATCCTGGGCTCTACAACTTCATTAATATTTTTTTCAATAGTGCAATTCCATAAATACAGGGGTTTTCATACTTTATTATTCAGCTTTAAAAAAACAAAACAAAACAAAACAAAACAAAAAAACAAAACAGCAAGAGAAACACAACAACAACAACCAGCCCTAAAACCGCAACACCAAGGAAGAAGAGAAAGAGATAAGGCATTGTATCAGCACATCCCAAACAAGAACCTCCCAATCTAACACATAGCCCACATCCCTTGAGCTAGTAGGCTCATAAAAAGCAAAGGATATTGATTGTCTTCCATCTGAACCAAACACCAGGTAAAGTTTAGAAATTGTGGATATTAATATTTAGCAGATATTATTAGAAGCAGAAGAATGCTAATACTCATGAAACACTTCTCTCTCTGCATGTTTTGATCCCTTCTTTTTACTTCAAAGATGTTTCCATTCAGCTACCTGTTGGCAGCACATGTCAATCACCCCTCATGGGGTAACAAATCATCACCAGTCAATCCCATGTCTCTCTCCATACCCTCTTCTCCTTTTAAAAAATTAACCCAATCCTAAGTGCCTCCCTGACTCAACCTAGTTTTCATTACCACTCTTTTAATGACCAAAGACCATACTTCCCACTGCCTCTTTCCCACCTGGACTCCCCACCTCCCTTTGCAGTGCAGTTAGATAGTTTCTAATCCAAGCAGAAGCAGGGAAACACTGAAATTGTGAGCAAGGCATTACCCTGTCTCTAAGTCCCAGGCACATGCAGCTAGGAAAATTGAAAGAAATATCTTACTTCCAGCAAACTTTGTTGAAAAATACCTAGCACAGAAAAAAATCCCCAAAGAACTTAGCTGCCCACATCTGCCAAATCTCTATGAAATCTTTGCAAACTTTGCATACTTAGGCAAATTCTCAGAGGCTAAGAAAAAGCATATCTACAGCAACCTTTCTGCTAGAGTTGAAGTATCTATTACAACATTCTCAAGCATCAGAGTTTCTCCAGATTAAAATGGCAGGAAAATGAAGGACTACCTAGCTTCTAATGTTTTTTTGTTTGTTTGTTTGGTTGTTTTTTTTTTGTTTTGTTTTTTTTTTTTTTTTTGTGAGCACTCTAGGTTTTATAGAAATCTCAAAATAAAGAAAGAAAGAATTAGAAACTGTTCTTACAGCCTTTGTAACTGACAGGAAACGGTCGTAGCTGATAAGGACAATGTTAAACACTGAAGCTGTGCACACGAGATAGTCCATAACTAGCCAGAGCTTGCACAGGCCTCTTCCAAAGTGCCAGGTCCCTGTCAGGGCATAAGGGATGTACAGTGGTATGCAGAACACACCTGTAGAAATAAAGGAAACACACATATCAGTCAGCACTGCAGTCAGTGCTATGCAAACATAGAAACATTCCAACAAAAAAGTGATGCTGACTGCAACTGCTGGCTGGAAGGCTTCATATTCTCATGCAACCAATGAACATCCTGTATTAAGCTACTGACATTAAAATAAAGACAAAAGATTCTTTTTCCCCCTACTATAATTTACTTTTTTTCAAAAATATGGTCTAACTGCCATGCTTCTATCCTCTTAGAAGCATGATATGATATCCAAAAGCACTCCAGAAGTAAGTTTTATAGACATACAATATGAATTTCAGATTAATCTTTCAAAACATATAATCAGAAGGTTAACAAAACTGCAAGGTTTTATTAAGTACTCCCTGTTTAACATTTCCTTTTGTCATAATATCATCATAACCACGTTTCAGTGGTAAGCTTACAAGGTATTATCTGTGAGAATGCATCAAGTAGTGGGAACATACGTAAATGACCATGACTACCCAAAATCAGTCTCTTAAATCCAAATGTCATGAAACCGCCAGTATAATTTCATTGTAACAATATTCCAGGTGATTTTACTACACACAGAGTCACAAAGCACACTTGCAAGGCTAAAGAGCTAACAGTGTACTATGCTATGCCAGATAAATGTAGCAAAACATAAGAATGAACAGCAGCAAGGCTGCAGTTAAATACCTCTACAGAGATACTAATGCCTGCTCCTTGGAACAAAAGGTTGCATCATGTACTTTAACATTCACAAGAAAAAGAAAAAAAAAAATTAGAATTGCTTCATAATAGTCTATGATGCTGTAACTGGTACTGAAGAGTATCTTGAGAGTTTCTGTTTCTCTAAATATCTTGAGAAGAATGCCTGTTATTCTCCCTGTGCCATGGATGAAGAGACCTCTGTATGTTATAGATCCAGAAGTACAGAGATGAAGTAGAAGTTGTTAAAGGTCAAAAATCAGATAGAATGCATTGTTAGATGAAAAAGGCAAAGGACTCTGCAAGTGTAAAGACATGCTTTTAGCAGTTAGGATCCAGATAATGTACACATATCCTGACTCCAAATTGTGTAGCTACAGAACTACAAGTCAGTGTGATGCTAATGTACACAAAGCTTTTAACCAAGTTTCAGATGAAAAGCTAGATAAATGTCTTTAAACACAAAATTGTGGAAGTTAGGCAATGCCAAATAAGCTGTACTTTTTCCCTGCTTCAAACTTCTCAAATAGATGACAGTACTTGTTCAGCATGGTGCTAGACTGTGAGCAGGATGACAGAATGCCATCAATTGTTTTTTTGTTCACTGCTGGTTTTTGTTGTTGTTATTGTTGTTTGTTCGTTTTGTTTGGGTGTTAGTTTTTCTTCTCCTGTGTACCATAAGGCACTCTGTACTGCAGGGAAGGAACTGCTGTCTTTGACAAAGGTCCAGGTTTGCAGGGCTGTGTCTGGCAGAGCAGTGTTTGAGAGCTACAGGCAAGAAACAAACATCTCAAACTGGGGGACATGATGCGCTCAAGGTGATATCTGCAGGACTCAGCCCTGGAGATGATCTGAATTTTGGTACAGCTGCAATGAGGTGTTTTCACTCAGAAGCACCTATCTGGGTGTTCAGACAGCTGCAGTTTCTGTGCAGAGGCTTGTGCTATTTGCGTGAGACCAGTGGATGACCAGAGGGGTGCCTCAAAAAGATTAGGCATGCATCCAGACCGCAGGCAGCAAGAGCTCTGTAGTACAACAAGGCAGTTACAAGGTGGAAGAAGTCATCATCTTTATAGGGGAAGGGATCAAAATATCACACAGAATATATACAGTTTCAGAAGTTGTTGTTGTTGTGATGTGGCAAGTCAGAATATGGACTTCATGAAAGAGCCACCCTTCTTCACAAGCATTCATTTGCATACACAGCAATTTAAGCAAGATTTTTGCCAGAGCCATTCAACAGCTGAAAGCATTCCAGTGCATAAATCTCCGATTGCACATCACAGTAACGTTTTGTGTTTTTTGCATGAAACATATTATGCATCATTGTTTAGTTGCAAACCTGAGGTTATTATCTGTGTTGTGCTACAGTAGATTGAAACAGAAGATATCGACAATATATGCAAGATAAACCAGATATTGTAAACTGTATGTAATTTGGCTTTCTATACTTCAGTCAACTTACTACAAAAAAACTCCCACTCTTTCTTAGTAAATGTTGATTCACACACAGAAGTATTTTTTCTTGAAGCAAAAGCATTAGACATCTACTTATATGACAAAGGACCTATTTCCTATGATAAAGCGTTTCTGAAAGATAAGCGACATTACAAGTATTTATATGAAAAATGATGCATTATGTATCTCATATTTTGAGACATAATAGGCTGTTAAAACGCTTAATACAGTTTCCAACATTCCTTACCGTTCCCCATGGCACACGATTGGGAAGTATTTCTCCAAGAAGACACCACACACCAAAATAAGGCCCCCTTCCACCTTTTAACATTACTAGAAAGCAAATACTACATTTCCAGCACTGCAACTTACCCACTGCAAAGTCAGAAATAGCAAGATTGAGAAAAAAATAGTTACTCCGATGCCTGAGATTTCTGTCCATAATGAAAGCAAGGATCACCAGGACATTTCCAAGGACTGTGACCAGAGCTAGCAGCACCATAAGCAGACCCAGGAGTACCAACACACCCGTGGAAAACTCTGAGGTCTCTGTCTGTGTGGATGAAGTCCCATTACATGGTCCCATTATGTTTCCATCAGCTTCAGCAGTGCTGTTCTGCATATTGTGTATCCAGGTCAGTTCAGTCCAGAAAGAAACTCTTGTAATCCAAAAAGTTGAGATTCATAAAGAGTACTAACAGCTGAAACCAAAAATACAATAAACATCCAAAAAATTGAGTCAAAAGGGAAAAAATAAAAGGTTCTGATGCCAGATAAATCTATTTGTGTAAGATATTTAAATTTTAATAAACACCAACACATCAGCAACCATGTGTATCTGTAGGAGAGCTACCAGGAACAAATGTGCAGTATTTTCAAGCTCATACTTTAAAACGTAAGTTCTTCTTTATGCAACCTGATAATTATCTGGGTGGTCATGAGGGCTGATTCAAGATTTACTCTTTCCTCTCCTTCTTCCACACCCCCTTCTTCTCAGAAATGTTTTGTTTGTTAGGATTATGGATCTCAACTTTTTCTGGAAAATGTTTGTTGGTTTTGGTTACATATCATCATGGGAATTTAATCTATGTTACACTACCAATTTCATACTTGCTTATCTCTTGTCATCATATTTCAGTAGGCTTATGGTCTCTCTGCACTGTGTTGTAGGTTTTTGCTGACCAAAGGCATAGAGTACTTTGTTGCTGTTCCTCTTTCTGTGGAGCATAGGACTAAAAATTGGTACTCTGTGAGTAAGCATATGCCAAATTACTTAGCAGAGCAATCAATCAGTAATGGTCTAATCCTCAGAAATCAGGTTTTTAAAACTCATAGCAGCCTGAGTGACACAGGCTGCTACCATCCCAGAATCAAGGAATGAAATACTGACTCCTTGAGTGTGAAGGAGAGCTTTGCAATTAACTTTAATAGGACTAGTCTTTTCTTTCCATGCTGGTGGGAGGAAATGAAAGTCTTCCACAAGTTTTTTGTATGAGTAATGAAGCCACTTGCAGAGAGCTGAGTATTCCACAGCTGTAAAAATTCAATCATTTTTATTATAGGTTCTAAAAACACTTTGGTGTCTAATTTTAGATACTTAAATTTGAAAAACATTGGCCGTCATGTCTGTGTTTCTGTTGTGGGAACAAATTCATTAGCATTCTCAAAGTGTTTTTACTGAATGGTTGAACTGGCAGCAGCACAAAATCACAAAAGTTTATTATCCATACGAATAACTGCACAGCATGCATGTCCATTTCTGCTTTAAGTTATATTTCCTTTCCAGGTAAGGCTGGAAACATAGAAAATATAAACTGACAACAACTACTAAGTAATGCCACTAGTCTTTCTTCTGCTAGCAATACGTAGGCTGATCTACATGAAGTTTTAGAGGTTTCAGATATTACGTGGTTGAGAAGAAAATAAAGTGGTGAACAAAACTGAGGGCAGATTAAGGGTTCAGCTAAGTCTCTATCCGGTCTGTCTCAGCAGCCATAAGCCTAAGGAAGAGGGTAAGAAAATAGTAAAATATACCACTGGTGTTCTCCCCCTACCTTCAGTGATTTGTGGCTCAAGATACTGATATGGTACCAGATGTGATATTTGACTATTTGTTTTCACTTTTTTCTGATAAACAGTCAACTTCTTACTCTTTTTTTTTTTTTTTTTTTTTTTTTTTTTTTCTCTTCTATGTGTTATTGATAGTAAATAAATATCACAGGGCTTCTACAAGCCTCTAAGGAGGGCAACAGTCCTTCTGTGCATTCAAAGCCAGAGAATAGCAGGAAAATTGCCACGGTTGCTGCCAAATCACAGATCTATTATAAAACATTATCATGTCCTAATCATACTTAGTGACTCCTTCCTCATACCTAATGCAGCCAGTTCTTTTTGACCAGTCTCACCTTCTTATCATAGGAGAAACAGCTCACCCCTGCACATTCAAAGTGGTAGCCCTGTGGAAAGAAGCATCCAACCTAGAGCAGCAATTTACTTGAATGCAATACACCTGCTTCAGATCTTCATAACTGGGTACACAGAAACTGTACAGCACAGAGGATCCACATCTAGAGGAAAGTGTATGAAAGGTTTTCTTCTCTTAGAGACCTATTATTTTTATTGGAGAGCAACTTTTTGCTCAGGCAGATGATGACAAGGGGGAATGGTTTTAAACTAAAAGAGGGGAGATTTAGATTAGATGTTAGGAGGAAATTCTTCGCTCAGAGGATGGTGAGGCACTGGCACAGGTTGCCCAAGGAAGCTGTGGATGCCCCATCCCTGGAGGTGTTCAAGACCAGGTTGGATGAGGCCCTGGGCAACCTGATGCAAGAGGTGACGCCCCTGTCTATGGCAGAGGGGTTGGAACTAGGTGATCTTTAAGGTCACCAGCCTACCAATCCAAGTCATTCTGTGATTCGTTCTATGAATCTGTTAGATATTGGGGTGCTTGCCCTCAGTCAGGAGGGGGCCCTTGAATGGACTTCTCCATATGGTGGACAGTCAGCTGAATATGAGCCAGCAGTGTGCTCAGGTGGCCAAGAAGGCCAATGGCATCCTGGCTTGTATCAGAAACACTGTGACCAGCAGGGCTAGGGAGGTGATCATCCCCCTGTACTCGGCTCTGGTGAGGCCGCACCTCGAGTACTGTGTTCAGTTTTGGGCCCCTCGCTACAAGAAGGACATCGAGGTGCTTGAGCGGGTCCAGAGAAGGGCGACGAAGCCGGTGAGGGGTCTGGAGAACAGGTCCTACGAGGAGCGGCTGAAGGAGCTGGGCTTGTTCAGCCTGGAGAAGAGGAGGCTCAGGGGCGACCTTATTGCTCTCTACAGGTACCTCAAAGGAGGCTGTAGTGAGGTGGGGGTTGGCCTGTTCTCCCACATGTCTGGTGACAGGACGAGGGGGAATGGGCTTAAGTTGCGCCAGGGGAGCAGTTAGGAAGAACTTCTTTACTGAAAGGGTTGTTAGGCACTGGAACAGGCTGCCCAGGGAGGTGATGGAGTCACCATCCCTGGAAGTCTTTAAAAGACATTTAGATGTAGAGCTTAGGGATATGGTTTAGTGGGGACTGTTAGCATTAGGTCAGAGGTTGGACTCGATGATCTTGAGGTCTCTTCCAACCTAGAAATTCTGTGATTCTGTGATATCCAGCAGCACTCCTGCCTTTTTCAACTGCAGAAGGTAGGAGAAGACCCAGCCTCTTCACTATTATTTAATACTGGAGACTTTTGGATATGCTTTTGATTCCTAACTTGTCCACAGATAGCAGAAATACTTGATCAAGCTGGCAGGCTTTTTACAGGCTGGTGTCTCTGATGAACCCACTCACAGTCACCAGTTGTGGAAGACAAGCATTTGTTACAATTTCTCCAAAGCCCCATGATGATCAAAATAATCCAAAAATCTTACAAAAGAAAAAAAAATAAAAAAAATAAAAATCATAGATCTCAACTGTGCTCCTAAAGTATATTGTCATGCAAAAAGTACCCCACACAAACAGGCAAGCCATAAAGCAGAAAATTACTGCTTGTAACAACTGCATTTAAAAATTGATTCTCCTGTTAGCAAATCCCATACAAATTTATGCAGTTTTGATTCGGTGAGAATCTTTGATAAAATAATTAAAGCTACAGTGACAGTAAAGTTATTGATGCTATTTGCAACTACTCAGTCCTAGAGCTGGAAAGCTGCAATTATAGCTCTTTGCAAGAATGAATATAAGGTTTGGACTCTTTTTTTTTTTCTTTCTCAAACTGCTTTACAAAGTGTAAACAGAGAGGTTGTCACTGTATCTTAACCCAAAATTGTCAGTGTTGAGTGAAGTGAATCAGGAGAGTATTATAAGCACTTAATTAGGTTACCCATATAATTGCTTCCAACATACAATGACCACATCCTCAATTTTGTAGCTTGTCATAGTTTTAGTTTGCACGTATCTAACATTTGTGCTAGACCTCGTTAAAGGTAAAATGTAGAGAAGCTAAACAATCAAGCTAATAAATATGGTTTCACTTTGAATTCCTTTGACATTTGTATTCCCTAGTCTTGCTGCAAGAATTAAAACATCAGCTCCAGCACAATAGCATTTGGCAGTCCCTAAAACCCCCTGGGAACCAGAACATTCTGGGCTCCACTTCTGGTCCAAGCAGACTTTCCCCACAACTTTTCAGTGTGTTATGTGGTTTCTTTGCTTCACTTCCCTCAACCCTTAGACAAAAGCCATGTTTACTGAGCTTCTTAAAATCTGAGTGGAATTGTGCATTAATAAAGTATGTCAGTGGAAGAGAATGAAAGGTATGGTACACTCTCCAAAATCCCTTTATTCTATTAGTTAACTCATTTGGGAAGCAAGGAAGTCAGATTTCACAGCCTCTAAAATCACGTTAAAGATAAGATTCATCCTAGCTGAGCACTTTACCAATTTACTTTATCTATTCAATAGCAAGAGGAGAATCAGCAACAGCACTGTTTTTCATGAGAAACAACTGAGCTAACAAATAATTTAAATCTGAGTGTGCTTTGGGGGAGCATATAGCTACATAATTCCTTTCCATCCCTCTCCGTCAACATTTCTCCTTGGAGCTAACTTACATGTAGATCTAACTTGGTTTCTCACAGCCTTGGGCACCCATCTCTTCCACACCATGCTTGGAAATTTTGTGTGGAGAGGGCTGCTATGATCACAGATACTGTTCTCACATGCCTTGGGAAGGCACTCCAGATCACAAACCCATTTTCCACAAGTCACAATGACAGGTAACCAACCTGTTCACATCCAAAGGAAAATCTACATCAGTCAGCAAGGCTGTGTTTGTTTTCAAAGTTTAATAGAAGACCACTGCTAAAATCTGCTTTTAGCAGATTTGTGTCTGTGGCTGTAACTAGGATTAAACGAGTCTGAAAAACTTGTCTAATACGTACTGAATACATTTCTGGTTTTCTACTGGGGTCAGGCATCATATGAACTATTTGATGATAATCCTATAAAGCGATACAGAATTTTAATTTAAATAGAATTAAAAGAATCACCCTGAATTAGCCATTTACTGAAGTGGTGTGATCTTACAAGACCAAGATTTTATGAACAGTTCAAAATTGCTATGCTGCAGTTACAGAGAAATTTGTCTCCATTTTAAATAGGTGGTAGGTTTTCAAAACAAGTGACCTTTCTATACTTCTATACCAAATTTAGATGAAATATTCTGTGTCATCACAACTTCTAGCAAGAACGACAGTTCATTTCTAAAATGGCTGGAATTTACTAACGCTTTTCTAATCAAAGTCTCTGTTTTACAGAGAAACCACCTGGCATTTCTTTAAAAGGTACATTGCTAACCAGCTAACCTGATCAGAGAAGCTACATATGAACTCCAGCTCTTGGTCCCATCACCCAAGTTTGAGCAAGAAAGAAAAAAAGAAATCATTCTGATACTACCTCGTAAGAGACTGGGATCCTGTAATGGTTTATTAGGTTTCAGCTGTAGTCCTGATTCATTTCCAGTGAAGTGAAGTGAAAACAGTTCACTATAATACTTTTCTTTTTCTTTCTATTGAAATTTATAACCATTCCACAAGTAGGGGATATGTATAAAGCCTATCTTTTTCTCAACAAATTTACAATATTTGACAACAAAAAAACTGCAGCTCCAGTTTAACATTATACGTTTTACTAGGAAATAACTTGAAATCTCTTTCCCTCACTGGATCTCACTTCCTAGTTCACATACACATAATTTATTCAACAAAACCTGATTTCTCACCAGGTCACACCGTCAAGTTCTGGACTGAACAATGTCAAACTTTCCTTATTTATAATACTTTCCTGCAAGTTAAAGATTTAAATCATCGTAGTTTACATTGATAAATAAGAGTATTATGTTGTGCAGAAGAAAGAGTTTACAGTACCAGAATTTAGGGTAAAGCACAACATGGAGATCATGCCCCTATAAAAACACTCCAAGTTAGATCTTCAACGCACTCAAAAGCAAGTAAGTTTCTACACCTACTAAAGGAGGAAATTGCCATATCTAAACCTAATCTTGTGTCAGCATACTTAAGTGAAGAAAGAAAAAAAAAAGTAATTATTTTCCCACTAAGTGCAGTAGTTTTGCTGATTCTGCTTAACTTAGTTTCACCACAGAACCCTGCAAAAATAATGACATGTACCTTTCAGAAAAAGCAAACCTCTCTCCTCTCTGGATAAACACATACCAAAGGCTACAACTTGCAGACCGTACCCCAAAAGCAAAACCAATGACGTATGTGAGCAACATAAAAGCCAAACGATCATTAAAAAAAAAAAAAAGAGAGAGCGTTATAGGGGTTTTATGATTAAAAGTAATTATCTCTTTTGTTCTCACAGCACTTTTTAATTAACAAATGAATACCAATCTAAAGTTACTATAGTCCAGAGACAAGAGATGCCAGTAATTGCAGTCCATTTGAGACCTGGTCTAGTGGAAGGTGTGCCTGCACACGACAGTGGGGCTGGAATTAGGTGACCTTTAAGGTCCCTTCCAACTCGAACCATCCTGTGATTCTATGCCTGCCTAATAAAGGTTAGACTATAGGAATCTGCAGCTTACACAACTGTTACAAAGAATAATTTCACCTATTTTTAAGAGATCTGGTTTGCGTGCCACTTCCCCCCCAACATTTTTTTCCTTTGGTTTACAGCCTCAGAGCACAAGGAGTTTCAGAAGCAAACATGTTCTCCAATAAGTAAGAGAAACCAAACATTTTATAGCCCAGTTTCTAAAGAAGTTTCTAAAGAAGGTTCTTGGTTTCTGTGTTAACAAGTTAACCACACTATACACACCTATGAAAGTGTAAGGATCAAGATGTGCGTCTGCTGCTGCTTCACCCTACACACAATAGGTTGTGTGCGTCCCTTGGTACCAGTCCCGGTGTGAATACATCCTTGACACATCTCAAAGACTTCTATATCAGTGCCAAATTTTTGTTCCTGCAACATAACACCACTGCTCCTCTAACATTTTCTGTATTACAAAGGAGAAACAATTGAATTCAACTAAGCACCAGGATGCAGCCTCCCTGCAGCAGTAATAATCCAAGCAGAAGCATTGCAAGCTCTTGAGGCCATCAGGCATACTGAGGCATTGCTTTCAAAGGAAAGGACAGACTCCTGTGTTGCAAAACTCTTCTGAAAGCCAGATGAAAACTTATTCTTAGAATAAAGGAAGTTCAAACTTATGCTTATACACACACACACACACCCCAAAAAAAAAGAAAAAAAAAAAAGGAAGAGAATACAACTTCTCTAATCAAAAAGCGTTCACAGGACAGCTAGCCAGCACTTCATGTTCCCACTGAATGAAACAGTGTGAAAATAAAAACACATTTCCATTATGACAACCTACTTTTAATTCTCTGTTACCAGCCATTCTGTAATAGAGCATTCATTTTGCTCACTGAGTGGCTGACCTATATGGTCTACTAGATTCACACAGAAGTTATCAACAACTTGTTTCTTCCATTTGGGGGTTTTTAGGTTTTCCCATCAACACTGAAATGTGAATTCTGGACAAAGATCTGTAATTTCTGGAAGAAAGTCTTACACCTAAGTTTCCACAAACCTCAGACTGAAGACACAAAAGCTCAGATCTTCTGAATGAGCTGTTGAAAAGCACGTGCAGCACCACGAGTGGAATTGAATCTATGGCAGCTACAGCAGAACATCTCACAATTCACCTGCTTTCCTTAGTAAGTCATCTCAACAATTTCTGACCTTCATAAAAGCACAAGACACTTTGGATCGCTTCAGTCAATAAAGAACTGCAAGCGTATGACAAAATTTTGATTACAAAAGAATCTATCAATATCAATCTATACTATCAATAAGATAGACGAACTATGAACAACAAGCATGGCCCAAAAAATGCCCAGACTTCTATATGCTGTAATGTATAGAGCTCCTTCCTTGGAAGGAATGCTATTTTTATACTGCTAGCCTGAACTCAAAAGAGCTTTAAAATGCAGACAAGGTAATATAACTGCATATAGCTGTTGCACCAAATCAATGCAGGATCTACCTGTCAGAAAGTCTATAATATCCTTGATTTATTATTATTTTTTTTAATCACTTATTTCAGTGGTACTTTTTAAATTACCAAAACCTCTACGGAATATTTCTGTTGCTATACCAAGATTTGATGCAGTTACTTTAATTAGATGAAGTTTGCCCTGCAGAAGGTTTTCTGGGGAACACATACTGAACTATTGCAATGAACAACAGTGTAAAAAGTGTAAAAACACATCAGCCAAAAGGCATACACAAAACTGGTGGTCAAATAAGCTAGTCTTACAGACACACATTTAAATTATGCAGTTGCCACCAGAGAAACATCATTAAAAATACTTACAGCCCTGACATTACTATATGAATAAAATATATCAGTTGTAGCTAAGAACATATTTGTAACTCATGCTAATAACTAGCAGATCACAAAGTTTAGAAACTAACTTGAGGAAGAAAAAAATAACAAGACAAAATAGACAAAAAAAAAAAGAGAGAGATAATTAAAGTCCATCCTGTGTACGTGAAAAATACCAGCTTTTTTTTTTTTTTTAATTTAAACAGCAAAATGACAGTTAACTGACAGGAGATCCAGTTAAAATTTTGGAAATGCTTTAGAGAAAAGTCTGGAAGCTATTAATAAATGGGTAGAAAACCCAAGTGTTTATAATAATATTTTTTAACACTTTTTTTTTCCTACTTTGCATCAACAGAACTAATTTCAGAACATTTACTAATGATCGTGACTAGCTGTAACAGGCTGATTTCAAAAGCCCCATATTCTTTGATGAAATCACCGGTTATTCAGTTACACAATACTTAACTCTCAAGTTTTCAATAGGCTGCCAAAGTCTGAAAGACACAACAAGATCCTCAAAGAATTTTGGAAGAAATTTCTTAATTCTTCAGCCATGTTCCGTTTTTCTTATGCCATCAGGCAGGCCCTACATACCGTACGTAAGAACTGCATAAGCAGGACCAGGGTCTCCGACGTCATATAGCACTGGACCACAAGCTTTACTTGTAAGTACTGAAAATGTAACACTTCATAAGTGACCTTGACCTTTGAATGGCTTCTGTCTCATTCTCAACACAACAAACTACTGACTTGAAGTTCTAACACAAGACAGATGTTTGAGTTCCAACACAGTAATGGGTAAATAATCCACATTTTAAATTAGTCATTGGGGGGAGGGGGGGTGGAAAGGGGGAAATGGTTCTAGATGTTTACAATATCCTCACAGAAAGATGCTGAGAAGTATAAGAACACAGGAAACTTGTGCCTGAGCTCTACTTCAGAACAGCAGAAGAAATCACAGAACAAGATGGAAACATATCTATAGCTTTACTGAATTCTCTTCTGAATACAAAATGTCTGTTGCATTTGATAAGACAATAATGTACAAGTTTCCTTTGTATAAATATGTGCAAAGTAATCTCTTTATATATATATTTTTAAATAAATTAGTGTTCTGTTCTCTTCTTGTCCTTCTTTGTCTTTTTGCTCTTTCCTGCTTGTTTAGATGATTCATCCTGAAATGAAAACCAAGCAAATTAAAATTCAAAACAAAATATATATATTTCTTATATACTGTTAACATTCTCTGAAAGTCACTCACAATAATTATTTTTAATATGAAGTGTTCATAGTTCACTGGGATTTGATACAGTTTTGAACTGTAAAGTATTTAACCAGTTTTGTTATTTTGTCTGCTTGCTATCCAGAAACATCTGCCTTCAGCAATGCTAAACTTACAGACATAGCTATGCCAACAAAACAACAAAACAAGTGTAAAAATAATCTAAGCCATTTCCGTTCAAGGAGGATGTTACCAGTATAGGAATACGTCTACACTATACTGCAGAACTGCTTCTAGTGTGGATGTGGTTCTATCACGAGATAATACCATGCACTGGTACAATAAAACCGCTTCCCTAGACAAAACAAATCTACAATGGGGGAAAACCAAAATTTTACCAGCCTTAATGGACCAACACTCTGTTGTACTACTTTGACTGCCAATTCTGAAAAACAAGATACGTCTTCACATGTGAAAAGTAAATAGCCGTTTGAGTTTTTGTACATTTACTTTCTAGCTATGTCTCACTATACTTTCTAGTACAGCAGTTAAAAGTTTAATTTTTTTTTGATTCCAACATATTGGTAGATTATGATCCACTTAATTAAATTCATTAAGCATTCATCTCAAGCATTCCTGAAAATGGTGAAGGAATTTGCCAAATGCAAATCTCACTGAACATGGGACATTTTAATCTTTTCTCTTCCACATGGAAGGGAAACAGACCCTAATAGACTGTTTGAACTCTGCTATTGTAGTATATGTTAGTATTTACATATAACATACACAAACCTAACATGCTAGTCTGAGGATGAAGAATGTTGAAAACCAGGAATAAATTACCTACATCCCTGACATACATGTAAAATGCCATTTAAGGACTTTTGGAACTTTGTCTCTTGAGTGATTTAAGCCCCCTTGAAACATTTCCCTTCATCTTTTCTGTAACACTTATTGTTAGATGGTTTGAGTTCTTCTAGTCTAGCTTGATTTTTTTATGATGACTATCATCTACTTTTTAATAGTATTTGCTGTTGCTATGATGCTGTAATATGTTATGTTCTATAATTCTGAAAATTATTTGGGTCTATTAAAGCATTTGCACTTTAAAATGCTTATTAGTCAGTGATTGTAACAGTTCAGCTCAGTCTGCCTACACGCTAGCACCGAGTGAACACGTAGGCATGAGCAGCAGCAGCTACCTGGTTTCTGAACACACAGAAAGCAGTGTATCCCCTTCCTGCTCTCCCTCAAGCCTCAAAGTAGTGTTCTGGACCACAACCCTCAACTCCTGCCACACTCCTTTGCACTCCTCACATTTACAGGTCACTAACTTCTTTGGAAGCTATTAGTAAGGCATAAGATCAGTGCAAAGGCTCCCTATCAGTGCATCAAAGCAATCAGAGGATGGCACGGGTAGTATTAATTTTCTTCTGGCTTCATCCAACATTGACAGTTTGCACAAGTTCACATATAAATGCCTTCACTTTAAGTGGCTGAAACTTACCACTGAATGTACATAGTTGTATTCCACAAGGACGTTTCTTGCACAATTGTTGATATGTTTAAAACGATCTGGTCCTAACAGAATACCTCCATACCAGCGGGATACCACGACCAACACATTGTGGACATCCAAAATCTGTTTAAAACAACAGCAACAACAACAAAATGAGCAGAAACAAATAACAATAAAAAAGAATTGAACGAGTTTTACTGCTGATACCTTTCTTAATAGAAAAAGCCTACTTGTTTTTAAGAAGAAATTGCAGTCATGTCTGTATCACATAGCACAGAAGTCAGAAGGTAAGTAGTAATATCAATTCAGTATTTGTGGTAAGTTTCCATGTCCAAGCTTCTACTCAAAGGTAAATTCAAAGTAAAACGAGTCAATATATCCCTTTAGAAATGGTGAAAAGTTATTTCATGTGCTCTACAGTTGCTCATCCATGTATCAAAGGCCTCAGGCATTACTTAAAGGCACACTTAACGGAATTACTTTCATTATTTTTAGTAAGACGTTATTATTTCCAGAGAACCTCTGTCACCACATAGATTGTCTATCCACATTTTTGGAAACAATGGTGGATAAAGCTAATAACAGCCAGGGAACAGGCACATAAGGTTCATATGGATATCTAAAATGCCATAATGCTAGGAGCTGGACTCGATGATCTTTGTGTCCTTTCCAACTCAGGATATTCTATGATTTTATCCAATAATCTACTACTGTTACCAAGTGCAGGACTAAGCAACAACTCTTGGATAATACATAAAAAAAATCTGTATTTTTTTGGTCTAAGCTAGTATCCCTTACAACTTAGCAGTTCCTTTCTGAATTCCAAAAGGTATACATAAAGTTCACACAACATGAAATATTTATATTAGTAACTATGACTGAAAGGAACTAAATAACTTTTATATAGCATTTTTAAGACTATCGGTAACAAAGACAAGGAAAGAGTTAAATACAGAAGCAATGACCTCCTTTATTGCAATTAAGGGCAAGTAACATAGACCTTCAACAGCTTTATTTTTTGACACCTAAATGTGACTTAACTGGACTTGAAAATTAGCATTTATTCTGCCTTACAGCAATTCTACCCTCAAGAAGATCTCCAGCTGCAGCAAATGCTAGGAACACAGTGATTCCAGCTGACTAAATATCAAACACACACACTTTGCCAAATTATAAGAAATACATTACTGCATGAAAACATGCAGTGACAATCACAAGTTGGCTTTTTTTTTTTTGACATGTTTTGTGACCATGATCCTGAACTTGTTCCTCAAACTAAGGCATCTAAAATCGCTGTGAAAGATTTTCACTCACAAACAGCTTACCCTCAAGTACTGTGCAGTACTACACTAGTGCATACTGATGGCCAGACAGAGCAAGAACAGCTTTATTTGCATAAGGCTGAGTAAAATCACTGTGGTCTGCAAGACAGAGGGCGATGTAGTGAACTGGAAGGTGAGGAAAACACCTTCAGAGCCAGCTATTTATAAAGGTTAACAACCAAAGGAAGGACAGTTTTTCTGATGAGCATTTTCTACTCTACATTTACACACCAGCCATAAAGTCAATTTATAGCAACTCTTCAGAGTAAACAGGATGTCAAACAGTTAGGAAATTTTTAACTCTAACTTTGAGTTCAAAAGTATTAATCTAAAATGCTGTTTCTTGTAACCGGAAAGTGCTATCTTGACTGAAGTGCTAGGTTTATCTGAAACAAGATAAGATTTCTATTGCAAAAGAAGAACTATAACTACAGCAACAATAACTGTATTAAACCATCTAATTTTCATGCCCATATCATATGTCTTAAGTGTATACAAGAAAAGAATTGAGAGAACTGTATGAACACCTAGAAATTAGTCCTTAAACTACTTTAATTTTTCCCAGGAGTGAAAATTGCACTTTTCTGATCTCTGTAGAATCACAATTCCAAAACAAAACTATTCCCAGTAACACATACTATCAGTTCACATTTGAAAGGTGAAATTTCATGTCATTTTCTAGACTGGATTTTTATGGACCATTAAGCAGACACAGTAAATCTGTCCCTTTTCAAAAGTTTACATTAATATACTGAAAAAGAGTAGATAAGCTCAGAGCAAATTGAGGTACAGTAACTGCAAAGTTACTTCTTTACACTATTATTACTACAATAGTATTTTCACACTTGTCACATATACTTGCATATATTATATAAATTAAGTTTTCCTTCCAAGTCAAGTTTGAGTTACTTAGGAAGTTTCAAAAAGTTCTAAATGAAAAGTGCTAAAGTATTTACAATTATAGTATTTTTTCCAGAAGAAAGAAATCTTTGAAGTTTAAAAAAGAAGGCAAAAAAATCACCACACAACTTTAAAACAGTCTCCAACAATAAGAGTACAACACATTAAATGAGAGAATACACAAGCAAGTAAAGGATGGGAAAAGAAAACCTTTGTTCTGAAGGTGATGCAAACCAAAAATCAAAACAAAAACACAGTAATTAGTGTTCTGATACAGTTAAGTGACTTGAGACATAAGACGTATCCAGCCATTCCCTGTAGTCATGGTATTTTACTTATGACTTTACAAAGGGTTGTATCATGCCAGCTAACCAAAATTTATCAGCGTACATTTAGTAGTAACTTTGTATAGGAAATATTAGTTCCACATGTGAAAACTAAAGTATATGCAAATACTAGGGCTACAGAGTCAGACCTGCAAATAGCACAAAGAAATACATACAGTGGTAGAACAACTTAACTGCTTCACTCCCACTGCCTTTTGCATTTTAAGCTCTACTCTGCAAGTTCAAACAGAAGTGTCTTTTTGTTACAAATATTCAAGGAAACTGAAGTGAAGGTTATGTCAATCAGCTTATCCCAGTCTTCATTTTCTATCCATCTGACACCATATGGAAAATCCAATTCATTACATGCATGCAACAGTCTGTACTTTGCTCTCTGATTTCTGAGTAAGCAATCACCTATTTGGCCAACAGCAAAGCAAGAATTAAAGTAATCTTGTATAAGTTTATTAGTCACATTGTAGTGATTTTTTAAAATCTGGTCAAGACTTCCGGAAATCAAAGACTAATTTCTATAACCTGCATAAGATGAAGAAGACGTCCACCTGCCGCTGTCTCCCCATCATCTTCACAGTCTTGTAAGAACGTCTGCTTATCTTCGCAGTATATTCTAAAACAAAATAAAAATAACAATAATAAAAATAAGAATTAATAAAAAGTCAATCAACTAACATTTTTAAATGATTAATGAAGTCTCAGAGATCTTTCTTTCATAAGCATGTGCATCAATCTGCTTCTCCACATTCACATGAAAACAGGATGTGGCTTAGGGTAAACCACAAATATTTATCTGTACAGTGGAACAAGTGTTGAGAATCTTTTACATATGCTGTAACTACTTCAGGTTAACTCCATGTTCATTACCAGTGTAAAGTCCCCAGTAAGAAAAATCCTTAGGTTTTTAAACTAATAATTACATGTCGTTTCAGCCAACTCACAGAATCACAGAATTTCTAGGTTGGAAGAGACCTCAAGATCATCGAGTCCAACCTCTGACCTAACACTAACAGTCCCCACTAAACCATATCCCTAAGCTCTACATCTAAACGTCTCCATCAGATGCAGGTTCAAATTATGTATGGTACACACCTACAAGACAGAACTCTGACAAAAGTGATTACCAGTAATCAGTTAGGTCTGTATTTCAGCAGCAGCAGTGTAAAACTATTACTGAAATTCTGCTTCAGATTCTCCACGCCATTTACTGAGCCTTCCTCCAAAGCAGAACTGTCACAGAATTTAGCAAGCCTGAGGAATTATACAGGGGGCACTCCGGGAGACTGTGGGGCATATTGTTTCATATGAAGGACAGCTGCCCAAGTCTAAATTTTCAGAAGTAATGCTCAGCACTCTATTGTTTTGTTACCTAATTGGTTTCATAACTTCCGCACTTAGTTAACATACATGTGACACAATGACAGAGAGGCAGCTAGTTTTAGATGAAAAATATGAAGCAGTAACTGTTTCTGTCGCTTTTTTGAAGTGTATTTAAATAGTGTGAGTGAAAGGTGTCACATCAGCAGCAGCAACAATAGAAATCCTTTATAGAAACTTTTAACTTAGGTAGACGTGTTGGTAAGCTTTCATTTACTCTCATTTCATGTTTCATTAGGGTAACTCCATGATGTGCATGAACAAATCACTTTCTGTACACGCTTTTTCATATGACCAATTCCTTCAGCAATGAAAGTGGCTCCTTTTACAGTCATGTTCCTCAGAAAACCTACATCAGTATCTGGACTGAGACGGTTTCATTTCAAGTAAGCTACGTTCACAAAAGGTGCCAGGGACAGACCACTGCCAAACTCTTTACTACGTATGTCCCATTTTCACTGATGATGCACGTATTTCTGCAAATTTCATATGCCAGACGTCTGCATCAGGCTTTCTGCTTCAGCCCTTATTTCAACTGAAATTTCTGAGCCATTTATAAATGCAAAGTCAGGTGGAAAAATGTCACTTTGCCTAATTAAAACCACATTTAGTTCAGGATGAAGTAGCATTTCCTTGCTCACACCTCCTATATAAAGTCTAACAACACATGTTCAAATCCACTTTTATTTTTTTGGTTTTTTATTCCTAGTGCTGCTTCACTATCTTAATACTTTTTCCTTACCGTATGCTGCACTTTCTTGATCTCAAGTCCAAAATAAAGCCTGAAACCAAATAAATCTTCATGGGAGTAGGTTTCTTATTAGCAAGGAATTTCTTTGATTTTACTTTTCTCATGCCCTTCAGTCACTTGGCAAAGAACACAAAAAGATCACTATGCATCTCTCACCTGTACGCATATATGTTGTGGGTGGCACTTGCAATTTTCTTATTCTCATATAATTTTTCAAGAACTCTCTTTACCTTTAAAAAAAACACACAAGTAAACTCAGTAAGGGGATTTCATACACATCATCTCAATACTACTGCTAAACAAACACCTCCTTTTCAGTACTATAGAGAAACGCTTTCACATTTTGACCTAGAATTAATTAAATATTCAATTTGCTAACCCAAGCAGCTTCTCAGTACCCCCATACTATTTTCCAGGATACTGAAAACATCTGTTCCTTGAATCAGTACATTTGTATTATTGCTGAACATGTATAAGTATCAAACTGACTTACTAAACAAGAGATACTGTGAGATCTAGAAAACACTTTAAATCAGTATTAAGGATCAATTACAAGTACTTGCTTTTTTCAAGTGTAATATAAGCTGGAATAATGGCACAACATGTTTTCCTATTACATTACACATACTGCATTACACATATTACATATTGCTTTTACTGATATCACAGTAACGTGATGTTTGGAAAGTTATACCACATTTCACTTAAAAAAAAACAGCTTTCCTCTGTGGGTCTGTATTTCACAAAAAAATGATGTTCCCGCTATATCGATCTCTTTGTTCTTAAGAAGTACCAAATTCAAAACACGTATCAATATTAGTGCAGTTTCTGTTTCTAATTAAACACGCTAGCAATTGTTCAACACTTTTCAGCTTGGTCTAGTAAAAAGAGCTTTGATCAAGACATTGTTTTAATAGACAATGCATAACTAATATTACTTTGAGCAAAGTATGACAGAAGTTGAGAAAGCTTGGAAAACCATATTTGGCAAGTAAATTGCTTTTCATTCCAAAGAAAAATGTCTCTGAAAAGTAATCAATATTCATATTTAATCTGTCATAGCTACACTGTGCTATTTCTAATACTTCTGGAAGAAATGTAAATTAAAAAAATTATCTCAAATATAAGATATCTCAATGAAAAAAAATGTCGTTATGACCTGAGAACATTGCTTCAGACACCTGTTTTCTCCTGTTGTCCCTTTCCCCGAAGTGGAATATTGAAGAAAGACAACCCACATTACTCAATATGTTCTCATAAATATTTTAATACATGGATTTAGGGTACAAAGCATATGAAATTACTGTCGCCCTTGACATTAGTTGTATGTTGGCTACCAGGCTCCAGAAAACATCTCTCAAAAATTCACTGTATGTCTGTATTAGCAATAAACCTCTAAGGCAGACATCTCGCAGCTAAGCCTTAACCTATCCTTTTTCCTACTGTAGCTCATGAGCTTTTTTTTTCTTGCTCCCCTTTCCACTCTTCTTGATTTAGGGAATTAAGGGATAATTCTCTACACATCAGTGAAGCACCCATTCATAATGATCTTTAAACAGATCACTTCTTAGTCCTACCTTTCTAAATCAATGTCAAGTCCAAGAACCACATACATTTTAAATGTCCAAACACGCCAGACAGAGACAAGGAAAAGCAATGGTACCAAATCTAGTACCAAACCTAGCTTGCTACCTGAAATACACTTAGCACTTTTTTCCCCATAAAATTTATAGTAACCTATTATTCTATGTAAATAACTACAGTATTATGCTGGTTATCATTACTGAAAGCTGCATTAAAATATTCAATACAGGAATTGACAGATCAGTCTGTGTACTGTCTTAAACATCAACAGCCATCACTGCAATGTACCGACAATGCACCTACTAATCAGTTAATAAAACAAGTTCGCTTTCCCTCAATGTACAATGTTTTACCTCACTCCTCACCCTCTTTTTGCTTTCTTTCATAAAAATGAGCCCATGCCATAGTAAAGCTTCCCTGCAGTGCTGACCGATCACCTCACACTGTACAGCATAGCTCTGTCCAAGCAGATGGATTTGACACTAGGGGATATCGCACTGCCTTTATACCATGCAAGTAACAAGAAGCCTTGACCTGAAATTCCTAGGTTTATTGAGTATACATTGCTTTTAAAAAGAGGTCATAAAAGAAGAAATTAAGAACATCTCTGCATGCAAAAGGGAAGTTATTAACCTGCTTTAAGCAAGTACTGTTTCTTGACACAGACCTGCCCTTTCTGAAACCTGTGTCTGCATTTATGAACTTCCTTTAGGTAGGGATGATCTTACTCACAAATCATCAGGGTGAGAATATTTTAAATTTCAAAAAGTCAGTGATTCCAATTCCCTCTCTTTCTAAAGAAAAACAGCTCGTAGAAACTCACAGTTCACAGGGACTGAGCACTGAAAGACCCTAAAGTGCAGTGCTACTTTAGCGAAAATGGTAACACATCAAGTTTTTAAAAACGTTGAGTTATTCCCCATTAAGAGTAATGAATAAAATTGCTTTTGCTTTGGAAGCACTAAGAGAACAGCTCAAAAAAGTTGAAGGCATGTTCAAAACATTATGATGTATTCGGACAGAGAAAAACAAGATAGGTAGCAAGAGAGATGTGAAAGGCATGGCATATTTTTGCAGGTGTGAAAATGTAAGTTATAATAATATTTATTTTTTCAAATACAAGAAGCTGAAGCCTACCAGAAATCTGTACTGCCAGCAGGTAAATATAATACAGAAGAATCACTCAAAGAATATACAGCTGTAGCACAAAAAACTACATGAATGTACAGTATTTATGAAAAAAAGGCCAGGCAGGGATACCACAGTGGAGCCTTACCACAGACTAATGTTAAGCAAGCTGATAAGATGAATAGAAACGAATCAGCAAAACGAGATCATGCATATTTAAAAGTTTAAAGGGAACTGGAGCACGAAGGTGTTGAACTGTAACTAAGGTATCTAACCCGCCACTTAAAACAAGATGACTGCTGTGATACCAACATTTCAAAAGTACTCCAGGAACTACTCAGAAAACTACAGAACAAGTCTTATAACCATACTAGGCAAATTAATTGATTTTATTAAAAGAAAAAAATAGCTTAAGATACTATGGTTTTTCTGTTGGGAACCATGGCTCTAAAATCTGCCAATCTGTCAAGATTCTTTCAGTCACTGAACACGTGCTTCCAGGTGATCAAGCCCACCTGGAATTTCAAAAAATATTTGATGAAATCCATCTGTAAAATTTTTTGAAATAAAAACTAGAATTGGATACAAGGAAAGAGGAAAATATTCCCAAGGTATAACTGCTAGCTAATGACAAGAGAAGAAGATCAGTAGTTTCCACACTGAACAGGGATCATCAAAGGAAAGAGATGTTAACAGATGTAAAGTGATGAACAAAGTGACTCAAACTTGTTACAAGCATTCACAAAAAGAGATCTTGGGGTCATAAGAGACATTTCTATGAAAACACCAGCTCAGTGCTGAGTAGAGGTCAAAATAGCAAGCTGAAAGGTATTACCAGGAAAAGAACATGGAAAACAAACAAGAAACCTCTTTATATCACTCCATAAATCCTTGGTGTGATTGCATTCAGTGTTGTGTATAGTTCTGGTTTGCATCACAGAAAGGTTAGAAAGCAGAAGTAGGAGGAAAACAGAAATGATTGCACACATGGAAGTCCATCCAAGAAGTACTGAAATAGTTGGGGAAGTCAGTCTTCAGCCTGGGAAACTGAAAACTTTAGGTCTGTGAAACACAATAGTCATCTACAAAACCCACCTACATACAAAAAGCAGAGAGGTGCAAGAATGAAAGTTATAAGCAACTGATTGACAGTAAACACAAGGTGTATTTTCATACAACACCACAGATTCTGAAAGTTCATTCTGGTCCAAAAAGCAACTGGATAACCCCACCCCCCAAAAAACAAACAAACAAACAGTAATATCAGAAACAATGACACAATCTTTACCTTGTGTTAAGCTGCTGAAACAAGAGAAGCACGATGGGAAACAAAATACAGCTGTCCTTTTCTAGCACACTATCTAGATCCATATTTAACACTGATTCCTGTAAGAGACAGGAACCAGTGCAGACATTTTTTCTAGTTGTAGATAAACACAGGTCTACAAGCATGCTTACCCCTCTCGTTTATGACTAAGTATTTACTTATGCATTACTCAAATGTATTTCTCAATAGAATCGCCTTCTGAAGAAGGGAAAAATATTTATAAGCTAATTTTAATTCACTTTCACAAGTAACACAACAGACTCAGTCGATTCCATGTATCATATGAAAACTTGGCAAACATACAAAAGTCAAAATGTAATGCTCTTATTCTCTGCCCTACATCTAACATACTTAAAAGTAAGGGATAGGAACATCCAGTCACTTCCACAATAAAACTGGAAAGCTACCAGAAGGCAGAGCTGTTACTTACGAGTTATTTAGCTGACAATGAAAACCAAAAACTGGTAACTACAATTATCAACACAAAGATGCAAAGAAACACAAATTCATCTAACTGTAACTATTTCAGTAATATCCTGTCAATCTCAAAGTACAGACAAAAAGAGTAGGCTTGATCTCTACTAACTTGTCTGGTTGTCACCACAGGAGCCAGATGTGCCTGGAAAGTACTCCTTCTATCTGTCAGTGGGTTTCCATGATGTATGGATGGCAGCTCTTCATCTATTGATCACAAACAAGGAAGTGTTTGCTTTTTTTTTTTTTTTAAGGATACTGAAACAACATATATGGCTACAAATGTAAAGAACGTCTTGACTTTCAAAAGAGATTAGTTAGGGTTAAGTATGAAAGATAACAGAGAACCACCAAAACCATGTAGGGTTATTTGCAATTGTTATTAATCCTTATAATAATTTTAAATGTTACTAATTTTACTCAAAAACTTAGTAGAAAAACAGAAACTTAAAGCCTCTCTCTCATAAATGATTTAATCACAATTAATGAAAAAACATTTTTACCTTCTTGACTTTCAGAAGTGATATAATTTAACAATTTAACTGGATCTTCCTGAACAGGCTGATAGTCTACGAGAAAATCATCTCCATTATCTTCGTCAACTTCTTCACTGGTTTTCTTAATATCTGGTTCTAGTAACATAACAGCAATAGATTTATTACACACTTTTCTTTTTTTTTTGCAAGACAAGTAGTACAAATTTTCTAATTCTTTTTCTCTAATGTGTCTGGCTTTTCAGTTCAAACCAGCTTGCCAGTAAGAAAAAAAACGAAATGCAGAATAATGCTTTGTCCAGTATTTACTAAAATCATTCTTAGAACTAGGAATACAATATTCACATCATGAAATCCATCCATAGCATCTTCTGTTTTAATACTAACTCACACTCATGCTTACCATTTCCATTAAACATTTACAATAGCACTAATTGTTAACTTCATGGTACTAATGGTAAATTAATCTGAATTTAGATTAATAAAATAACCTGGTATTTTGCAAATTCTCCAGTAAGTTATTGGTCAGTTTTGGAAGAATATAAAGCTGCTGTTCGATGGTACACAACAAGGTTAGAAAATTATCAGATTTCTAACATCTCTCTGGAAATGTTTCAAGCATTCTGGGGTTTCTAAAATCCTATTTTCTTTTCTGCACTGGACATATGAAAAATAACAGTCAATTGCAGGAGAGTAAATATAATATTGTTCTAGCACTCTGGCAACTGGATTTAGAGAGAACCTACAACAGAGATAAGCTAATGTATCACAATCTAATTTCCTCTTTGGAGGGCCTATCATGTGGTGATGATACTTTTAACATCAATACTTTTAACAAGTATTTTTAAAGAGAGAGAGGAAGGTGATGCGTGTTCAAAAGGCCCAGAAAAATTATTAAAAATAAACAGCAACCCAAGGTTGCTGTTAAAATATCCAATAAACTTCCAATACTGAAACTAAAGCTTTCACTTCTCAGTATCCACTCCTTTAGTACTGTTAGTGAAAACTGTCTTCTTGATTTGTGCCATGTAGCAGCAAAACGTACAGTTTACTAAAAGATTAAACTGTCATGAAGGAGCACTGAAAATGTAAGTGGTTTTTTTCTTCTTTAGCCCTTCATTCTTGACAGAATGAGCTAACATCTTCTACATTAATAATGTCTCTATTTCCTTCTGCCACAAGCATAAGCAGGCACATCACTCATCCATTTCATGGCACTTTAATGAAAGGGGAAAAAAAAAGGCCCTACCACTTCTGAAAAGAACAGCTGTGACTTTACACAAACTGTCACTATAGAAGCAGAAAAATCAACACTAGTGGTGATGTAACTTCTCATCCCAGTACAGTACAATGCAACTGAGATGGCATACTTAGTAATTTGTCTGCATGTTCCACTAAAGTTTATCTCCTTTTCAGACTAATCCCAATCTTCCAAGAGTGCACTCAGCACCAGAAACTAATTACTGCTATGAAGGATTTCTCAGCAGAACAGACGAAGATGCTCAATGCGCCTGCGTGCAGCACTCTGCTTTCATGCAAGTAATTTAATATCTGAGACAATTGAGAACCTTGTTCTAGTTCATCGCAACCACCTCTTTCCTTTTTGTTTTTTTTTCCCTATGTGTCTTTGAAAACGGAAGCCATCGCTGTAGAACAGTAAGCCATCAAACTAGAGACTGTTTTCTCTTATCTAGGTCAAAACAAAACTGGTCATATATCTTTAACTTTCAATGAAATCTTACTTTGCTGATGAAGAAGTAAACTGAAAAACACGTGTATTTGCTGAAATACCTGGATCTGATGACTGTGCCTTTTCTACCAGAACTTCTCGTATCTTCTCCACCCATAAATAAAGAATACTTTCACCGAGGTTCTGTCTGGAAGATAAAACTCACAGTGAATGAATAATATATATATATATATATTATATATATATATATTCAGATTTTACTTGGAAAGTATCTGCATTAAATAACATGCAGATTTCAGACATGCAGAAATACAACTTTACAGTCTAGTGTGATAAAGAGCTTAGAGGGGCTTGTGGAATATTCTATCTAAGCGGTTCACCATGTGAAACAAGTGAAAATCTGCCTCGTTATATACTTTCCTTACAGCCTTTTTTTTTTTTTTTACATTGAAAACACCAATAACGAATGAAAACAGGTAACTGATGGAAACTTTCTGGCCTATAAAGTGAAAGCAACTGCAAGAAGAGAAAAATGGACAGCCCCCAGTGTTTTCAAAAGAATACTAAGCCAGGACTTCCAGTCTTTGAACTTGTTCTTGATCCGTTTTTCCTTCAAAAAATTCTTGGCTACTGGTGGCAAGCTCCTTTGGCCACTCTGTGGCTGCAGGGGACACTTCCCCTTTACGTTTGGGCATCTCTTCCTTGGGACAGCCTCCCTTCTCTTCCCCCTCACACACTCAGTACACACAGCAGGGGCTAAATAAACCTGGTGGACTGTGACAGGTCAGTTGTGGCAGACACACTGGGTCCTAATACACCAGAGTTTGGGTCCCATAGGAGAGGTAAGCATTAAGCTTAGGAGTCCTTAATTAGCAGGCACAGGCAAGTTTATGGTACTGGGGGAAAATGGGATAAGTGGTTTTATGTGCACATCCAGAGTTATGAAACACTGCCTTTATGGGCAGCAGGACCCAAACATCCTTAAATATACTGAAAATGGTATCCTGAAAATAATCTTTCAAATTATATTTTAACATGCTTATGAACTGTGAAAGCATTGTTAGGCATAGGAATAGGCTGCCCAGGGAAGCAGTTGAGTCACCATCCCTGGAGGTCTTTAAAAGACGTTTAGACATTTTAGCTCTAGCTTAGTGATATGGTTTAGTGGAAAACTTGTTAGTTTTAGGTTAGACCTCTGTGATCTTAGAGGTCTTTTCCAACCTAGATGATTCTGTGATATTTCGAAACATTTTTGCCTCAAAACCAGAACTGAAGATATAGAGCCTTAGTCAACTCACGGTTTCTCATTAATAATTTTATTCTTACTGCCACCATCTGGGGCAGTATGTAAGTACACATCAGTAATAAAATTGTACTGCTTAGTGTATACAGTACTATCGTCAAATTCAATCAGTAATTCTAATAAATTTACATATTTTAAGAAAAATATTCAAGCAAAAATAAAGAATTTGTTAACTTGTAGCTTAGCCCCCAAAATCCAGACAGACTCCAGAACTAGCCCTGATTTTACGCTGCTGGTCATCGTATTGAAGCACTACTTAAAACATGAAGAACTATATTTATGTTAATGATGGAATGAGAGGGATCAGACATTAAATAAGGTTGCTCTGTTGTATACAATTAAGTATACCAGAAAAATATCTGGAAAAAATAATGAAAAAAATCCTAACTTTGCTACGTTTTCAGTTTTAAGCACGTTGTGCATCCCAAAACAGATTTGTGATTGATCATTATCTGCTTTTCCCACCTCCTTAAGAGGCTGTAGTGAGTGACTAACAGTATGGTTCATATTGGTTTAGACTGCAGAACTAAGCAATTTAGATCACTAAAACACACATTGTAAACAATGCAGAGTAACTATGTTTACCTGACAACTATTTCAACATTGGAGAGATAAAAGGCTTTCACAAACACTGTGCACATCAGTGACAACTCCAGAAGGGTTTTAAACACAATCTTAAATGACATATATGGTCTAAAGTACAAACACGTTCATTTCCTGCTGAACAAGCAAAAATGACAGGAGACCAACAAGGGCTCTCAACAGCAAGTGACAAAACAGAGTTGCCAGGGATTTATCTAACTAGGAAATTAATAACTAGCCTGCAAGACTGTCGTAAAAATAGGGAGAGAGCTTCACAACCATGCTATTCCTCCTTGCAGTCTTCATGTGGAAACTTGCTCCAGAGGCTCAGGACAGAGCTCATGAAGGACACTGTGTAGCTCTGACTTTGGTAGAGACTCAAAAAATCCAGACAGCCAATGATAATCTGTTCTTTTTCCTCCACTGTGGTTAATTTGATCCCTTAGAACTTTTAACTTTATATCATTGTGTGGTTTTTTTAAACACTTCTCATTTAATTTTGCTTGCTTAAATTATTAGAAATCCAGATACCCAAAATAACTAAGTAATTAGGTAAAAACAAACCTCATGCAAGCTAAGTGCTGTCTTCCTTATTTTATGGCATTAAAACACATCTCTTAAGCAAGAAGTTCAGATGTCATTATTCAGGGAAAAACCGTGCTTGCTTATGACATATTTTCATTTCATTTAGTTTATATTATCTTTGGGATCTGAAAGGATTAAACAAACCACACATAATTACTACACTTAATACCCCGATTTCACAGCAATTCAAAAACACACAGTTTGCGTATTTCTAAATGTTATATTTATTCTCATGGATCATGAGTTGTTAGCTACACACTGTGATAATAAATGGTCTGTTATGTTACAGATTCTAGTTAATAGACTCTACTAACTGTGTTTATTTTAAAACCTACTTATCCCTTAGCTGTCTTTTAAGAAAAAACTGTTTTGTCACTTATGCTCTAAGACATGAAGAAATGTTTTCACAACCTGCAGTATAACATCCAGATACAGAATAGACGCAGGAATCTCATACTGAAATATCACCAAATTCTGAAAGCATCTCAAGATTAGGAGCCAAAATGACGAGCTCCATCGTTAGGGAGCACAAGATCAAAACAATATACAAGAAAACTCTTGGTATTTAAGACAATTCATTCTCATAAAATGTTAAACATAGTATATACATAGCATTAACTGTCTGATTTGTAAAAGAAACTTACTGTTTTATGGCTACTGCAGCATGTATTACAGCCACTAGTCTAAGCAGGTACTTGAAAGCATACATTGTGCACAACATGAAACTGAAAATATATTACCTCCTTTTTCTATATTCCACAATATGTAACTTACATATATATTTCTTCCAAGCTATTTGCTAGTTCTGTGTACTCCTCTCCTCGAAGCCAAGGGGCACTAGAATGAAGAGAAATATGATGAAAATGGTGCCTCTATGTTGATTCTACCATCTCAACAAACACTTGTTTCAAAATAAACACGATAAACACCTTGAAAATAAACATTGTCAATCATCCCTACTTATAAAATTTCAGATGTAAACATCTTTGTAAAAGCATGATTACCTAGTTCCCAACTTTGGCAGCCTTTCCTTATCTCAGGTAAGTAAGCTGGACTCATTTTTCAAGGTAGGCCATTGTCTCTCCAAAGTGATATTACATCTTATTAGCATACCTTTCTGACTTCTTCAGCAACATACTACTTTTTACTATATTAAAATGTAAATATTACATTTTATTATGCAATAAATAAGTCATAGTGAAGGCTCATGCTTACTATATTTAGCATGATCCTTCAGTTCTGTACCTGTACCCTTTTAGTTTTATGTTAAATTATAAATTTTACCTCAAGATTACTGGCACTGTATTGCATTCCCTTGACAATGCTGTTGATCAAGATTCAGTATATGTGCAGCGTGTCATGCCCTGTAGGCCTGACCCCTCTATCATCCAAGTCAGGGGTCTGGCTGACATGTCTCCATTGCCATCTGGTTTATATATCAAGGGACATGGGGAGAGCAGAGAAGGAAAAAAGGAAGTGGCACTTGCTCTGGTTCCATCCTAACAAGAGCAAGTGCTCAGGTGAAAAGCATGCCTTACAACATGAAAGAAGGGCAGAAACAAGAGTGGTACATTCAAGAAAGTGGTGAGATACCGTTGTCTAACGTGTCAAGCAGCAGCTACCGTACCTCTACGGTCTAATTGTTGCCTTGCCACAAAATAATATTGTAAGAATTATAGTTCTAAGACAAGAGATCAGTCTATCATAGGGAACTTCATGAGGCTGACTTGGGGGAAAGAATAAAATACGATTACTTCAAACGTTCTGCTATGTCTGGGATATTTTAATTCAAAGTCATCTTAACTAAACTTCAACTTATACTTTAAACAATTAACACTGGTAACTCAGGAAAGAAATAACAGTGTCTGAAGGAAAACAACTCTTGGCAAGAAACTTCACTTACTTTAGTTGATAAATAGGTGGCTCTGAAGTTGGATATCCTGGAGGCAAAATCACCTGAAAGAAATTCAGGGTAAATATTCACTATGCTACTCTAAGCTACCTGAGTTTTACTAATGGATACCAATGTTGAGCACTTGGGCTACAGTGTTACAAATAAAAAAAACAGTTGGCTGTTACAGAATGACAGGAAAACATGTATATCTGTATTTAGGATTAATGGTATCCTAAACAGGATTTGGTATCCTAATGGTATGGGATACCTAATGGTATCTTAAATTTAGGATCTTGGTATCTTAAATTTAGGATACCATTAGGTATCCCATACCATTAGGATACCAAATCCTGTTTAGGATACCATTAATCCTAAATACAGATATACAGAAAATGGTATACAAATAACATATTTCATGGCACACTTTTTGTGGATGAAGTGTTACACAAAATGAAGTGCAGAAGAAATGTAAAAAGAGCTACCTGCATGGTGACTGTACTTAAATTTAAGGGGCTCTGCAATTCCACAAGTAGACATCTCAGTGTTCCTTCCACTAAATGAAGCGTATTTACAGAACTGGAAACAATATAAATGGCAAGTTACTCGGGAAAATTGATCTGAATTCTGTGTTTCCACGCTTTGTAGGGAGTAAATCGAGAAGCTGTTGCACCAGAATCACTCAGATGTCCTATACAATGAGAATGTACAAAGCCAGTTTGTCTAAAATGACACAAATACTGTGATGTGGTTTTCTGAGGTGTGAAATTCAGATATGTAACTACCACCAATGTCACAAGCACACTGACGTGTTACGGGAACCACCACTGAAAAGCATATGAAAGATTTCAATCCAAAAACTTCTTAATCCATTCGAGGAGATACCAAATCCTACTTCAGAGGCTTTCACGCAGGCACAAGCTTTTGCCTGCAGGAGTCCACTTGCAAAATCTGCGCCAAACTCCTCAACAGCACCGTACCTGCAGACAGAGCGTCCACTTTGGCTGGTCCAGACAGTCACTAATCTTAATGCAATATATTTTTTCATCTTCGTCAACCACACACCACTCTTCACCGTATATGGACGACAGGGCTTCAATTTCATCAATCTAGAAAGAGCGCGATGTAAAAATGAATAAAGAAGTGAAGAAAAAAAAACACACAACTTTGCACGCCAGCCACGGTTTTAAGGCTGGCTCCCTTAGTGAATATTTACAAACATGTGACACTGTGATTCAGTATCACAGGCGGTCATGAAAACTGAGGGGTCCAGTCCCGACCATGCCCCTGCGGATCCCTCGCTCGCAGCCCCGCCGCCCTCCTCGCCCCCATCGCCGCTCACTTGCTGCTGGGCCGCCTCGGGGCCGCCCGCCGCCATCGGGGCCGCAGGGAGGCGGGCGGGGCGGAAAGGGCGGGCGGCTGCACCGCGCAGGCTCCCCGTCCCGTCCCTATTGCTGGTGTGGGGCGGCCCCATGGCAGCTGGAAAGAGGGACTGAGTGAGATGGCGGTGTGCCAGGCTCACAGGCTCCTGGAGAGGCGGGTGTTGCTGGCCCAGCCCAGCCCAGCCGCGCTCCGGTGTGAGGGCTGCCTCATGGCCGCCGTTCCCTGCCAGGGAAAGCCATCAGCTTGAGCTGCTGAGGGGGCACAGGCAAACCAAGTAGCTGCAGAGCTCAGATGGTTTGGGCTGAGATGACAGGATGAGGCTGTGCCTCCTGCCCAGCCCCGCGCTGGTGTGTCCTGTCACTGCCCGTGGGGCGCAGTGGGCTCCCTGCACTGCTGCCTTTTCTGCCTCAGCCAGCTGTAACCAAAAGCCACAGCCCCAAGGCCCCAGTGTTGCAATCTCGGGGCCAGAAGCCCCTCTCGTTGTTTATTCCTTTGTGAGGGGGTTCCTAAAGCCCTCCCTGCCCTTCCCCTTGGCACCGGTCCTGTCAGGTCTGGTTGCGCTTGCCCAGCTCTTCCCAGCATCTTCCCTTCCTGTGACCTCTGCTTCTGACGTACAAACTCTGTATTACCTAAAGCAGAGCTATCCCCTGATCAAAACACCTTCAGGCACAAGCATAGCTACGTCTGACTCCCAAATAACTGCTTGAGTACCTTCTCCTTCTAACCTTTCCACCCTCAGAGTGCTGCAGTGCTATTTCCCTGCACCATTTTTACATCTTTCTGAAAGAATGAGTGATCTTCAAATATAGTGAGCTTGCATTTGTTCCTAGGTTATATTTAAGTACTGTCCTGAAGAAAGGAAACTTAGTATATTTATACAGTGAGTGTGCCAAATACCTACAGTCAAGATACATCACTAATAAATTGTTATAACATCTACTTCCATCATACATCGACACAGAATTAAGGTTCCACGTGTCAGGTGGTATTTCCATCCTACTCCTGACATACTATTTTAAAAATAAACTGGATTAGCAGTTAAATTTCAGTGACAACTTTACATATGCAGTCATTTTACTTTGCATTTTTTGTCATTTGAAATGAGCAATTGGAATTCTTGTAACTATATAATTTACTCTAAAAGTGGATTGCAGAAAAATCATAGGCATTGCATTTACATTTAGAGAAATGCAGTTCATTTGTTCAATGTTGACAAGTTATGCGTATCTCTTTAAAAGACTGGCATTGACTGATCAATAATGATTTATTGATTTATTTATTTATTTTGCTTCAGTGCAAAGTGTGGGCATCGCCTCTTCTTTCTAATTTTATATGCTTTCTTCTGATGTATTTTATAGAGGTTTGGTGTTGAAATTTTAAAGCTAAGATTTTGTTTTCCCCTTTCTTGGAAGCTGAGAAAACTTGTACCAGCTCTGGGGAACGGAATCTGAATCCAGAATGATTTTAACAAATGGGGCACACTTCATCAGCGTTCTCCACCGAGCCCGCCAGAGTTCAAGAAGCTTTTGGACAATGCTCTCAGACACCAGGTCTGATTTTTTGGGTGGTCCTTTGAGGACCCAGGAGTTGGGCTCGATGATCCTTGTGGGTCCTTCCCAGCTGAGATATTCTATGACTCTATGACATTCTAAAACAAACAAAGAGGTAAAAACAAAACAACACAACAGCATGCAAATGAGTAGAGACAAATTCAGCACTATATTATCGACTGCAGAAATTCAGGGTGGAGAATTACTGGTTAGACAGCAGTTCCACAGAAATTATTTGGGAGCTATAGTGAATCCCAAGCTAAGCATTCACCAATAGTGCTATGCTTTTGCTTAAACAAGAACCACCATGCCATCATGTCCAGACACACATGAGATAATGTGAGATACTGGAAGTAATCCTGCTTTTTGCAAAGCTGCTAAAGCCCCAGCTGGAATTCTGTGTCAAACTTTACAACTGCACTTTAAGAGAAATGTGCACTAACTGAAGTCTGGATTAATGCAATAAAATCAATCACAAATCTAGAAAAAATCATAGAATCATATATATATCATATATATATATATATATGTATATATATATATATATATATATATGATATATATATATAAGATATAGAACCATTAAGGTTGGAAGAGACCTTCAAGACCATCTGGTCCAACTATCACCGTACTACTAATGTCACCCACTAAACCATGTCTCTAAGCGTGAGGTCCAACCTTTCCTTGAACACCCCCAGGGACAGTGACACCACCACCTCCACGGGCAACCCATCCCAATGCCCGACTGCTCTTTCTGAGAAGAAATTTCTCCTAATTTCTAACCTAAACCTCCCCTGGCACAACTTGAGGCCATTCTCTCTAGTCCTATCACTGGTTACGTGTGAGAAGAGGCTGACTCCCAACTCCCCACAACTTCCTTTCAGGTAGATGTAGAGAGCAGTAAGGTCTCCCCTGAGCCTCCTCTTCTGCAGACTAAACAACCCCAGTTCCCTCAGCCGCTCCTCACAGGACTTGTGCTCCAGGCCCTTCACCAGGTTTGTAGCCTTTCTCTGGACAAGCTCCAGGCTCTCCATGTCCTTCTTGTACTGAGGGGCCCAAAACTGAACACAGTACTCGAGATGCAGCCTCGCCAGAGCTGAGTAGAGGGTACGATCACCTCCCTGGTCCTGCTGGCTACACTATTCCTGATCCAAGCCAGGATGCCATTGGCCTTCTTGGCCACCTAGGCACACTGCTGGCTCATGTTCAGGCAAGCATCTAGTAGCACTCGCAGATCCTTTTCTTCTGCACAGCTTTCGAGTCACTCTACCACAGGACATCTGTAAAGACTTGAGAGAAGGAGTTAAGGTAAAGAGTAGTTTAAGAGAGGTAGGTAACCTTAATACGCTACAGATCGCAGCAGAGAAAATAATATATTGTTCTCCCTCTCTGATGTGGAAAAAATAAGTACAAAGATTTAATCTGAATTTTTGAAAGACTCAAACCAGATGCTACAGAGAATTTGCCAACAAAGTCAGTCATCCTGAGTGAAAAGGAGGGAGTGATTATAGTCCTTATTTACACAAAATCTATTGCAGGGATGGAGACAATACTATGTGCTGATGAAGCAACACGTTATCTTTGGAGGAGAAAAGGCTCAGGTAATTATGAGGAAGAGCCAAGCACTGAGGAGTTTATTGAGTTGTCATCACTCTAAGAGAGGTTGGACCTGGACACAGTTAATCTTGTCTTGGGCAGGAAAATGGCACAGGTAACTGTGAAAGTAATTCTTATGATGCTTATGTGAACATATTCTTGGGCTTGTAGTTCTACTGGAAATTAGATTACCACCATTAACTCTGACCTTAACTTGAGGGCAAAATATGACAGAGGTGGTAAAGAAGGAAAACTTTGGTTCCACTTTTTGATCTTGATTCAAGAAAACAGTTTTCAGACTCCTATTTTGCCTCCCAAATTTTAATCAATTGGAATTTGGAAGTATTTAAGAACATACATATTTTTAGATGTATATCAATACTTAATGAACAGTACTATTGATGCTATCCAAGTTCAGAATTTTAAATTCCATGTTCAATTTGCAGAGATGGAACTTGGGAAAAAAATGATTTTTCTTAGTGAATCCAACCTGTAGTAACTGAGAAAAAATAAAATAAATCTTTATCCTGGTGTTGTTTGAGTACATAGCTAAATACTTATTTTATTTTATTTTATTTTATTTTATTTTATTTTATTTTATTTTATTTTATTTTATTTTATTTTATTGTGAGATTATGAATACTGATGGTTCTCCCATGTTTGACAATTAGAAAGGGATTTTTTTCTGAGATCAGTAAGGCTTCTGGCTCTACATTAACCTTCAGTGTCATGGGCAGAGTTGGTTTAATTGCTTATCAAGAGTAATCAAAAGAATGTACCCAATCTCAGAACATGACCAATAAAAAAATAAATAAATAAAAAAAAAAGGAGATTTTATCAGGCAAAGTTCCATACTCCACTTACATTTAAAAATAAAATAAAATAAAATAAAATAAAATAAAATAAAATAAAATAAAATAAAATAAAATAAAATAAAATAAAATAAAGAGGGATAAAGTTTTTTTAAAAGTTTTCTTTAAAAAAAAAAAAGCAATTTCCTTCTGACCAAAACATAACAGAAAGCTTTAATCTACAGGGACCTGCTGCATGGATCTTGCTGCATCTGTTTGTTCTAATACTAAATTCCCTTATAAATTTAAAGAGAGAACTATGACATTACAGGACTTTTTAAATTTTCTGATAGTAATCTCTACATAGTGGTTGCATTTTATAAGTCGCTTCTTTTGACTTAGCCGAACAAATGAATTTACATGAGTATTCGTGGTATTTGTTATTAAATAATTTAAGATTATCACTGTCAATATTTTTGACTGTTGTTGTCCTTATAATTTCTTATCTGAAGGAATTTAGCAGTCTGTCACTGGATCAGGAAGGAACTGTACCAGATGAGAAGGCACAAAGAATAAATCACAAAAGCTGTATGGACTGTAGACATCTATGAGGGATTTCTGAGGACTCCATCGGTTCTTTTCATTGTCAGTTATAATTATGATAAGTCTTGCTGAACTGACACGGATAGAAATATAGTGAATGAATCTCCAATATGTTTATAGATGACTAATATTAGAGTAGCTGAATTGATATGGTGCACAAGAGTATTTAACAGCTGATTATTTTCTTTGTCTGAAGTAAACATTCTGTTAAGCAGGATACGAAACATGTATCCTTAGCTTTCAAATACGGGATTCCAGCATAGTAGAGTTTACTGAAACATTTGGGGTCTTCTTTTAGTGCATAACTGACCCTCATTGTTCTTATTAATAGTCAAAAGTCTCCCAAGCTGATGTTCTTCACAGCAATGAATGGACTTTGGCATTTAAAAAGGTTACTAAATCTAACCTTTGGTCCATCAGTTCTTCCTTTGTGATAGCAAACAAAAATATTTAAAGCTCAAATCAAATCT